TGAGTTCGATCCCCGCCTGCCCCGGAGGTGACCACATGGCGTGGCAGACCTCTCCTGACCCTCCCGCTGCTCCCCTCAGCAGTGTACTTCATCGATCTGCCTGTTCTGCTTCCCGCTCTGTCTCTGGTGAATCCTCTGACCCTCCGTATCTCTGGCCTGTACCCCAGTTCTGTATGAATAAATAAATAAATCTTTAAAAAAAAAAGATTTATTTTACTTATTTATACATACAAGAGTTAGGGTGCAGGCTAGAAGTGTAGGGGTATTGAGGGGTGGAGGGAGTGAGAGGATTCACCAGAAAGAGTGGAGAGCCAAACAGGCAGATTGACTGAAATCCACTGCTGAGGGGAGCAGTGGGCAAAACAGGAGAGGTCTGCTGCACCTTGTGGGTCACTCCCCCGCCCCCCATTGATCTCTTGTAGTGGCTGCCATAGGCTTCATAGTGCTGAGAGTTAACCCCTATGCCATCGGGGATGCCCATATTATTGTTTATATTTAAAACATGAGTAATGGGTTGTATTTGCTTGGCTACATAAAGAAGTGACATAAAGACCTTCATGCTTATTGCAACATTATTTTACAATAGCTGAGAGCTGTAAACAACTTAAGTGGCCATCAGCAGATGATTGATAAAAGAAGATCTACAATGGGATACAATCTACAATGGGATAGCACTCATCTATTAAAAAAAAGATAATATACTACCTTTTGTAACAACATAGATGAACATAGAGTATTACATTTAGTGAAATAAGTCAGATGAAGAAAGACACTCTGAGAATTCACTTGTGTGATATACATAGAAAACAAACAGATGTACTAAATTAAACAAAAATCACCTTTTTGAAGATAAGATCAATTAGTGTTTTCCAGAAAGAAGGGGGGTGGCAGGCAAACGGGATCAAAGGGCTTGCTTCAGTGTGGCAAAGGACACAATTTGTCTTAGTGGTGAACTTAATGCAGTACATACATAAACACTTTAATTTTTAATGATGAGCACCTGAAACATATTGCTATATAATGCCTTTCTTCAATTTAAAAAAATTAAAAATAAGTAAATAAAATTGAAACAAACAACGCAGCATTCACCACTCATTAGTGAGTGGGATTTCCATTATTGTATTTATTCCATTCTTGACCCGATCCAGTAAGCATCCAAGAAAATGTAAACGATGCAGTCCTCACATTCAGTAAAGTTCATTCCCAGAATTTTAATTAAGAAAGAACAATTAGGGCCCTCCCTGGTGGCACAAGGGATTAAAGTGCAGCACTGTGAAGCTATCTGCAGCCACTGCAGCATGAGTTTGATCCCCAGCCGGGGAGGTGACCCACATGGTGCAGCAGACCTCTCCTGTCTCCCTTGCTGTACCTCTCAGCAGTGTATTTCAGTACATCTGACTGTCACCCCCGCCCCATCCCAGCATCTCTGACTTGTACCCCAGTTCTTATGTGCATAAATAAATAAAGAGGGGGGAGAACCACAAGGGGCTCTGTTATGCTTCTTCCATTCTCTCTTGACAACGCAAAAGAAAAAACAGATAAGGAAAACAAAGACATTCTTTGGAAGGAAAAAAAAGATCAATAATCAAGAGCACTCAAACCAAACTGATGAAAACCAGCATCAATGTACTCAAAATACTCATTTCCTGGCCATTATTTCCTGCCAATTTTCATTTCAGAAGAGGGAGAAATGTCTCACCACTCTCACTTCATCAAGCCCTTGCAGCTAGAGATCCAGGAGGCTAACACGGTGAAATCTTGACTCTTTGCCAGCTATTTTCAGAGGTCCCAGAGTCTTTTCAGCAGCAACTGTCCAGTAGCAAGCAATATCCAGCCCATGAAGTCGTCTTTCATGGCCATCAAGCTGTCAGGGAAGAAGGATATTAACAGAGTATAAAGGAAAAATTTTCTCTCTTCGGCAGCCAACTGAATAGACCCTAGAGGGGATATAATTTGACTGACCTGAAGGATGAGCAAAGCCAAAATACCTAAAATTACCTCATCCCATCTACTCCTTTCCCCATTTGCTGTGTATCTTCAACTACACAGATGTTCACACCCTTAAGTCTCCATTGGTTACCAACTTCTATCCATTTTACCCCTTAAATACATTCCAAATTTTCCCCTTTATTTTATTTCTAGTGCCTCTACTCTGGCTCAAGCCACTATCATCACTTCCTTGATTGACTAAGTTAATAGTTACTGTGTTCCCAATATATGCTAGGTATTGGTTTAGATGAAGAGGATATGCCACCCCCAAGTATGTCACTCTGGCTCATGGATTTTTTTTAAAGATTTATTTTATTTATCTATGAATACATGAGCTGGGGTGTAGGCCAGAGGAGGTAGGATGAGAGGATTCACCAGAGACAAAGTGGGGAGCAGAACAGGCAAATATACGGAAATACATTGCTGAAGGGAGCAGTGGTTGTGGCAGAAGTCTTGTGCTATGTGGGTTAGCTCCCTGGCCAGGATCAAACTTCTACTGCAGTGGTGGCAAATAGCTTCATCGTGCTGAGACAATCCCTTGAGCCACCAGAGGCCTAGGCTTAAAAATTATTTTGTAGAAAGGCATTGCACACCTGAAATCCCTATCTGCCTAAAAGCAGAACTTTTCAAAAGTACTTGCTTGTCTTAAGTTTTCTCCCAGGAAGCAAAAGTAATTTTCCCTTCTCAAAGTGGAAGTCAGAAATGCACCCAAACAAACATTATCACTTCTATTCTACTAATAGTCTATTTATATTTCAAAAAAGTCATTTGCTTTTCCTTAAGTTCCTTGTACTACTTAAGGGTGTTCCTTAAGTAACACCCTCTTGGTGTTACTCCTCTGAGTAGTGACCATGCTGTACATATGAACCACATGCTAATAAACTTTTTCTTTTGCTAATCTGTCTTTTGTCAGTACAATTTATAGGGCCCCAGAACCCCCAGACCGGCCTGCTCTAAATAGGTTCAGCCATTTCTTGCATCAAGAGAACACATTGAAAGGAACTTTAACACTATTCGTGTGCAATACAGAAAAGACAGTATAGTTTCTAAATCAGACATCCAGGGTCCTCCCTTGTGGCACAACAGATTATAAAACTCAGCATTCAGGAAGCTGTCCCCAGCCATTGCAGCATGAGTTCAATCCCCAGCCAGCATGGTATGGCAGACCTCTCCTGACCTGCCTACTGCTCTCCACAGCAGTGTTTTTCAGTGAATCTGCCTGTTCTGCTTCCCACTCTGTCTCTGGTGGGTCCCCTCACCTCCGGCCTGTACCCCAGTTCTTGCATGCATGGATAAATAAATCTTTAAATAAATAAATAAATCAGACAACCAAAGTTACCCATCCCCTTGTGGGTATGTCCACCCAAACGGGATTGGCCCAAAGCAAGGCCAAAGTCTGCCACAAGGCTAAAGCAGCTTCCAATAGGGACCCATAGAAAAGGGTCAGAAATGGCCAGACAAGACTAGGAGGAAAAGAGCAAAATCAAAATCAAGATAAAAGCTGCCATTGGTAATCTTCCCAGTGTCTTTCACCTGCATTTGTTTCAATTCACCCAGGCCCAAGAAACAACATAAGCTTCTTCATGTGTCTCTCTGCTCCATCTGCCTCTCTTCAGGTCTCTTTCTGGCTCTCCATCCTGCTACCTTTTTCCATCTCCTTTCCAGATTCTTCTCCCTGCTCAGCTCCACCCTCCTTTGGGTAGGGCATGGAAGTTGGAACCTTATCTTTTCCTGGGGGACCACCCTGTTTCATCAATAGAAAATTCATAAGTAAAAAGAAAACTACATTGAGTTATATCCCTTTAAGGTCAAGAACAAGAAAAGGACAACCTATAATACTGACACTATTTTAAAAATTATTTTATAATACTTATTTTTAACATTTCTCTTTCTGTTTCAATTTGCTCCGTCAAAATAATGCTCTCCCAAAAGACGAATTTTGTTTTTTTCTGATTCTGTCTCTCAATGTCTCTGATCACTCTGTCATGAAGTCTCTGCTGGTCAGCAGCTGGTTAGATGCATGTGGGGCATGGTGGCAGTCATCATCAGTGCCTGGAGGTTGAGCACCACCTTCTAGTGACCTGATATCCTTGTGCTGGCACCCTAAAGTTCCTTACTTTTGAATTTAGATTATTTGATTTCTGTTGTCGTTGTGCTGTAGGAATTCTTTGTATAATCTGGATATTAATCTCTTACTATAGGTGTGATTTGTGAATATTTCCCCTAATGGCTCTTATTTATCTTTTAAACATTTCGTGTCCTTGTCCTTTGCACAGTTTTTAAAATTTTTAAGTCAAATTTTTGTTACCAATTTTAAAGTCAGAGTGCTTAAGTTTTGTCTATGTTTCCTTCTAGAAGTTTTATAGTTTCACTCTTATATTTAGGTCTGAGTTAATTTTCACTTGTGGTCTTAAGGGTCCACCTTTGTTAAGCATCATTCCTTGAAAAACTGTCCCTCCCCAACGAATAATGTACCTTGATTTAACAACAATAACTAAAACACTTGAAAACACCGTGCTGCTTAAACAGCTGCGGGCTCGATTTTGATCCAAAGGCCATCAATTTTGGGTATATGCCTTAACTTCACTTTCACATTAAACTTTCCAAATGAGGCAAAGGGAATGAGTGATTTAGTGTTGCCTACTATGTTGCATGCACGAGCCATAAACTGTCGAAAAGGTTTCTAAATAATAGGATGGAGTTTAAAGCTGTATGACACCCACCTATCAAAGCTCATTTTACTGTATTACTACGTGAGTAAATGCTTATAAATAAGTTACGAAGAGAACAGGTTAAGAGGATTAGAGGCTTTAAAAAAAAAAAAAAGATAATGAGCAACAAACAAAAGCAAAAGAAACCGGTAAGTAGGTCATTCTGGTTGGTTCAGTGGCAGCTGAGACAGACCACCGACCAGTTGCCATGCACCTAGACGCTTCACAGGCAGGAAGGCGGCCCTTCGTGGTCTGACGTCATATTGCAGGGCCGGGAGGGGAGGCGGGACTTCCGGCTTCCGGTCACAGGTTAGTGACGGCATCGGTGCGCGCTGGTAGGACCGCTGCCTGCGTGGTGTAGCGCAGATGCCGGGCAGCAATTCACTGCAGTGTCTTGTATACTCTCTGGAGTCGTGCGGCGCGAGCCCCCGCGGGAGCCACTGTCTGCATTCCTGGTATGAGCATGGGTTTTCTGTCATCTTTCATTGTGTGCTGAGCTGGGAAGATTCGGGAAACTTCATAAGACACCCTTAGTGGAGCACGTGCGCCAAGAAGGTCCACAAATAAGACGAAGCCCGGGGATGTAATAATGAATAATGAGCAGTAGTTTTTAAATGGTATCTAAGGTCGTTTTTTAAAAACTGCAGTTTGCATTTCTGTAATAGCCTAAAACCCTTTATCAGTTACCAAGACACAACTCAGTTAAAGACCTTTGTGAAGTCAGTGTTTGGAGGCAGAGGGCACCCAAGGAATCTAGAATAAACCTAGAAGCATCGACCTAGATTATTTATTCGAACACTCTCTGGTAGTTGAAGGGGTTAAGTCTCAGCACAGTGTAGCTATCTGCAGTCACTGCTGCTCTAGTTCTATCCCCGGCCAGGGTGGTGACCCACGGCATCATAGACCTCTCCAGTTGTACCTGATGCACCTCAGCAGTGTATTTTCAGTCGATTGGCCTGGTCGGTTCCCCACTCTGTCACTGGTGAATCCTCTCACACTCCCCCCACACCTCTGCCCTACACTCCAATTCTTGGATGCAGAAATAAAATAAGTCTTTAAAGAAGAAAACGACTTGATTGATTTCTGGCCATATAACTGTCAGGCCTTGGGTTCAGTGTTAAAAAATAAACACAGTTCTTGTCCTGATTGCTACCCAATGGGGAAAATAAGTAAGCTGGCGACTACAATACAGTGTTATAAATACTATGGAAGAGAGGTAGAGGATGCTATAAAAACTAATAGGAAGAATACTTGTATAAAATATGAAATGAAAAACAGCTAGAAATGTAGTAACAGAAGAGGTAAGCTGAGGGTGATTTTATGGCAGACTTTTTAAGTCCTTTTAATAAGTTTGAACTTAAAGCATGCAGCAAGGGCTTTGAAATACACATTGGGAATGATATGATTGCTTCAGTCAGGTTTGCACTTGTTCTAAGTGGCTTAGAGTAAACTGGGAGGCAGGGAGATACAATTAAGACTGTGTGATTGAAGAGAAGTGTATGGATAGCAGTGCCTTTCCTTAAAACAGTGCCAGAATGGGGAGAGAAAGGAGAAAGACTATTTTCAGTTGCATTTGAGATATTTTCTAATACATGGTGATTGAAACCAGAGATAAAATAAACTTAAGTGTTTAGAATATAGAACTCAGAAACATACCACCTTTAAGGGGGCACTGCATTTGAGACAATACACAGTTCAGCCAGGTAAAAGATCCAAGAGCAGTTAGTAAATGAAGCCAAGTAGGAGTTTTTCTTTTCAAGTATTTTAGTAGCTTTTATAAAAGGCTGAATACGCTTTTTATGTTTCACATTTGGCATATTTTCACAGTTTTAAGTGTCATCATTGTGATCATTCAGACCTTTAGGATAAAATCGTGGCGCTTTACATGGCCTAAATTTTGGACATTTTGTTTGTCAAAAACATTATTAGCTACAAAATCAAATCTAAACTCAAGAATGATTTGCTTTGTTTATAAAGCAGTTGATCTTTTATATTTGTTTTGAAAATGTGGAGATTGGTATAGTACTCTTAATTAGCTACCGTCTTCTGTAACTGTTCTGCCATTTGTCTTCTTGTGCTATTTATGTGAAGGATCTTATATTTGTGTTTGTACCTAGGCTTAGTATAACATGAAGAATATAGGACTGATTATGACCTCAGCCACATGAATGATACATAACTTTTATAGTCTCCTAGATACAAGTCTAAAAAGGATCTAAATTCATGTCTAAAATAAGGACCCAAGTAAGTTTTAAACTTTTTGCCTAGTAAGTACTGTCATTCCATTTTGTTTCAGAAATTGATTGCATTTGGGGATCTTAAATTTTTACTATACAATGAGAGATTTTTAAAATCTTTTTAACTTTTGATTATGTTTTCTTTTATAGGGATTTCTTACATGCCTGTTTTCCTCAAAATGAGTGTCACCTTTTTAAGACCTTTTGCTAGGCTTTTGGTGCCACTCACCCTTCATGGGAAGAAAAGGATTTTATATTCAACAATTCTACAGAGATGTGTATCTTCCAAAATACCAGCTGTGTCCTATCCTAATACGGAAAACACATCACCTCCTGAACAGCTGGAATTGGATAGTTGGAAAATTACAATGAAGTCTAGCATGCAAGAAGATGTTTCAAAAGTTTCAAGTAGCAAGGATGAAGATCCACTAGCTGCCACCAGGGAATTAATTGAGATGTGGCGATTGCTTGGCAGAGAAGTACCAGAGTACATCAGTGAAGAAGAGCTCAAAACTGTTATGGAATGTGTTTCTAAATCATCAAAAAAAAAATATTTAAAATATTTATATGTAAAGGAAAAAGTGAAAAAAGCTAAGCAAATAAAAAAGCAAATGAAAGCAGAAGCAAATGAAAAAGCCAAAAAGGAAAGGCTACTAGAAAGCACCAAGGAAGATAAACAAGACTTTCTATTTCTACGACTCTGGGATAGGAATATGGACATTGCAATGGGCTGGAAAGGGGCTCAGGCCATGCAGTTTGGACAACCATTGGTTTTTGACATGGCTTATGATGATTATATGAATCCAAAAGAAATGCAGTATACTGTTTCTCAACTTCTAGAAAGTGAAGGGTGGAACAGAAGAAATGTTGATCCTTTCCATATTTATTTTTGTAATCTTAAAACAGAAGGTTCTTATCATAGAGAGTTAGTTAAACGTTATGGAGAAAAATGGAACAAATTACTTTTAACAGCAACAGAAAAGTCTTATGTAGATATCTTTCCAAAGGACAGTATTATATATTTAACTGCAGATTCTCCCAATGTTATGACTTCTTTCAAGCATGACAAGATCTATATAGTGGGATCTTTTGTTGATAAGCATATGCACCCAGGAGCATCCCTAGCCAAGGCAAAACGACTGAAGCTGGCAACAGAATGCCTTCCGCTAGATAAGTATTTACAGTGGGACAGTGGTACCAAAAATCTCACCCTAGATCAAATGATGCGTATTTTGTTGTGTCTGAAAAACACTGGTAGTTGGGAAGAGGCTCTGAAGTTTGTTCCTAGGAGAAAACATACTGGTTATATGGAGGTTTCTCAGTATTCTCATGAGTTTGTCAACAAATTGAAAAAGTCAAAGGCACTTAATTCATTTCCAAAAGGTTTTTTAAATAGACCCAAAAGAAGGTGGCTTGAATGAGTGATAGATTAACAGATTGAAAATACAGTTCAGTAGTCTGTTTCTTCACAAATGGAATTTGCTCTTTCTTTTAAGGTAGTTTTTCTAAACTAACTCAAGGATGCCTTTTCCCAGTGAGATAACTGTAAAACAATGGAAAACTACTTTGTTTATTATGACAAGAAACTGAGTGTAAATCTTAGTAAAAGGAATTACCCAAGTTTTTTGAGCCCAGTTAAACAATTGTACTAGTGGTTTGACTTTTTTTAACAAATACTTTGTGTACCAGGTTCTGGTTTCCTTCTTAAATATTTTTAGCCATGTTACCCTTTCATAAAATTGATACAGAAAATCTCCTAAATTTTAGGTAGTTGTTCACTTATTAAGTAACATTTGGACCAGCGCTCGGTATGACATTGGCACTAAGGTATATTGTTTACCTGAATCTTGGTTAAGTAGAAATTTAAGACATCCTTTGATGTATCATGGGAGATGAGTACATTATGAAAACTGGGGGATAAAATTAATTTCTTATTTTAGAAAAAGGTTTACTTTTTCAGTCTTTCAGTTTGGAAAATGCGACTGCGGCGATAGACCTTTCTCCCCTGTTTACAGCTGATTAGCCTAAGGAGACAGAGTCAAGTGTAGATATGGGCATCTGACTTTTAAGAGAACAAGTCAGAACCGTTTTCCATGATTTTTGGATTTTAGAATTAAGATAGCCTTTGTCCCTTTTTGGTAGTGGACTTTTGACAGGAAGCTCTTAAATTAGTTGTGGTATTGACCTTTTCTATGAAGGAAGCCTGGTTCCTGTAGAAAAGTTAAGTTTACATATAGAAATAAGACTGATTTCTGAACTGTTATCTCTGCTTCCAGTTATACATAGATTTGCTTTTATCTTGAATGATTGTTCAAACTTCATGTGATACCCTAATATCCCTCTAATAAATTCTTGCCTTACCCAGTTTGTGTTGGGTTTCTGCCACTCACACCTAATGAGTCTCCTTGAAAACACAGGAATGAGACATTTGGGCAGCTATTACTTATTTCTGAATTGAAAATTAGCATCATATAAGTTATCCAGTATATTTCTTAAAGCAGGATGTAATCTGTTTACACAGTACTATATCCCTAGTCAGCTAAATGGTTAGTAGCCATTTACATGCACTATCGCTAGCACATTTTTTTATAGATGAGGGAAATTTATACAAAACAACTCACTCTTAGATGCAAATTAAAACCACAATGAGATACAACCTCACCCCAGTAAGAATGGCACATCTTCAAACAACTAGCAACAACAAATGTTGGTAAGGATGTGGAGAAAAAGGAACTCTCCTGCACTGCTGGTGGGAATGCAAACTAGTACAACCACTATGGAAAACTGTTTGGAGGTTCCTCAAACTGCTTTAACATGGAGCTTCCCTACAACCCAGCAATCCCACTCCTAGGTATCTACCCAAAAGACACCAAAACACTGATTCAAAAAGATACTTGTACCCCCATGTTTATTGCTGCTTTATTTATAGTTGGAAAAACATGGAAGCAGCCCAAATGCCCAAAAGTAGATGACTGGATTAAAAAGATGTGGTACATAAACACAATGGAATATTACTCAGCAACCAAAAAAAAAAACCCAAACATGTCTTTTGCAGCAACTTGGATGGAGCTGGAAAAGATCATGCTTAGTGAGATAAGCCAGGAAAAAAAAAAAAAGAAAGAAAACTACTGGATGGTTTCGCTCATAGCAGAAGTATAATGGGCCAGGCGAGAAAATAATAAGAATATGAACAGCCATATGCCAGAGACATTTTGTGGGGGTGGGGTGGGGAACGGGATAAAAAATGGGGGTAGGGAGGGAGGTGCACAGGGCTATGGTGATGGCACATGGGTGACTTGTTGGTGGGAAACCCATGGGGATTACAATTCAGATGAAGAAAAAATGTACAAAATGATGTAAAAATAAACTATTATATATTAAAAAAAACCAAAAAACTCACCCTTTAAGTTTGACTTTGATGGGGCCTCCTTCATGTTGCAGGGATATTGTTGCAACATCATCAAGGTATTGTCAGCCTCTGTGGTAGGAGTTTCCTCCCTAGCCAGGATGCTGACCAATGTTGTTGCAGCAGAACTCGCCTGTCTTACCCAGTGCTCCTCTCAGCAGTGTATTTCAGCAGATTTGCCTAATCTGTTCCTTACTCTGGTGAATCCTCTCACCCCTGCACCTCTGGCCTGCACCCAACTTCTTGTAAGCATAAATATATATTTTTTTAAATTTGACTTTTTAACGATTCAGCTTTTAAATTAGGCTCTCTAATAAAACAAGAAGGAAGTACAATGGAAAAAAGAAGGGATTCCTAACCTAAACTCAGACCAGGAAAGGTCTTGAGAAAGTAATTACATACTTAGAACTGACAAATGTTTAGACACTACTAAGTGGCAGTGTACTAATACTTGAACTGCTTGAGATACACTGACGATAAAATAGCATAGTGGTAAGAAACAAGGAGCCTGCACTTAGTGAGGCAAACAGGCTATTAGCCACCGCCCTGGTCTTCTGAGTACCAGTCCTCCCTGGAGTCCACCTCCCTCTCTGATGTTGCATAAATTGCTTAATCTCTAAATAAGTTTTCTGTATCTATATGAAGGATATTAGACATAACTTAGCTAAAAATATTTAACACAGTATCTGGCACATAAATGCTAAGTATTATCTAGTTATCTCTACAATTCAAAATGTATAGAATTTCTTATACTAGTATATGCAAGTCATTGTATCCCTTTAAATGACATTCTTTTTTCTTTTACTTTTAAACTTTTTTAAAATATGCATACAGAACTAGTGTACAGGCCAGTGTTGGGGGTGAGGTTTCACCAGAAACAGCAGGGAGCAAAGCAGGCAGATTGATGAAGTACACTGCTGAGGGGAGCAGCCTTCAAGACAGAAATCTGCCCAGCCATGTGGGTCACCTCCCTGGCCTAGCTGCAGTGGCTGTGGATAGCTTCGTGGTGCTGCACTTTAACCCCTTGCACTACATGGGAGGGCCCTACTTTCAATCTTTGCATAGAACTGTATTGTAGGCCAGAGGTGCAGGGGATGAGAGCATTCACCAGACAGTGGGGAACAGAACAGGCAGATCTACTGATACACACTGCTGAGGGGAGTAGCTGCAGGAGAGCTCTGCTGAGCTATGTGAGTTATCTCCCTACCCAAGGATAGACTTTTTTTTTATTGCTGCATTGTCTAGCAATGCTGAGACTTAACCCCTTGCACCACCAAGGAGGCCCACCATCCTTAAATTTTATTTATCTTTAACTGTGATACAGAACTAAGTCTATCCTAGATGGCTGTACCTATCCTCTCTGAACTTCCCTGTCCTCATTTAAAAATACAGGCATCTATAAATAAGTATATAAATGCACAGGAAAATCTCACATTTTAAAAGTATGAGAAGTGAGCCTCAGTGCAAATAACTGGTGAAGTCACGTATAGAAAAAAATGAAACAAAAGTGAATTATCTATTCTGGGCACTTTTAAATATGTGTCGCCAAATTACCAGAACACTACCAAATCATCCTGTTTCTGTCACGGAAAACACTTTCTGACCCTGTCATCCACCCAAAAATAATAAGCACCTTTCACATACAAAATAGTAAAAAGTGCTGTGAAGAAAACTTTTTAAAATAGCTTGTTGTTAAAAATCTTAATAGTTTCAGAAGCTCTTTCTCTCTCTCACAAAGTATAAAGTGACCAGAGAATGGTATATACAAATAACATACTTTGATGTCAATGTTTACCCTCTGAGGAGATATTATTTATATTCTAGAGCGAAGAAATTACAGGTCAGTAGACAAGAAATCTTCCAGTTTTACTCAGCCAGTAAAAACACAGGTCAGAGAAACCCCAGTTCGGTTTAAGACTAAGTTCCGTAACGTGTATTACTGGGCAAACACAGAAACTCCAGTTCCCTAAGCGAGACAGGAACGCCCCGCTGTATGAGAGGGAGCAGCATTAATCTAAAGAAAAAGGTGAGATGAGGCTGAAAAGGTAGGCTGGGAATCAACAACAGCGCCTGAAACCTTGGGGATCAACTGAAAGTTTTCAAATACGGTAGGAATCTTTGCATTGCTTAATGAAGTAACGTTTCTTGATAAAAAACAAAAACCTACATCCTATTTTAAGAGGTTTTACCCGGTGGCTACATGACCTTCGATAAATTACTGTTTCTGTCCTCCTCACACAACCAAGTAAAAGGCTAGTTCCGCACTGGACTACTTTTGAAGATTAAACGAGCTAGCCTCACACTAGGCGGCGCTCAAGAAAGGGCCGTTTTCTCAGGAGGAAAAACGCCCGCCCTTTTTTTTTTTTTTTTTACGTAAACAGGAAGGTCCAGTAAGAGGAGAATGAAAGACCCCGCTAGCCTCAGCTGCAACCAAACTCACTGTACAAATGCCTTACAAGACCCCACCAGAACTCCTAGACAGAGTCTCACTTCTGACCGTACGCCGCAGGACGCTCTAACCAAACTTCACAGAAACCACCCTACTTTCCCCGCCCTTCCTGAGAGGTCGTGAACTGATGACATCACATCCACTTCCGTTTTCGATATGGCCGCTTTTAGTTTCTTGGGCCGCTCTAGATTGCCGCCTCGCGGGCGGGCTTCAAACTCAGTGGTTTCTGGGCGGGGCTGTGACGTCCTTGGCGTGGCAGCCGGGGAGGCCGCGGCGGGGAAAATGGCGGACGGGAAGGCGGGAGAGGAGAAGGCTGAGAAGCCGCAGCGAACTGCAGCCGCCGGAGGTGAACACAACCCCAGCGTCGCGGGCTGCGTGGGATTCTCTGGGCCTTTCGTTGAGCTTCCCTGGGTGGGGGGAGTAGGGTGGAGAGAGAATGAGCGAATCTGGCGCCCACCCGGCTAGGTGCTGGGCCCAGACGAGCCCTGGGCACGCCCGGCGCGGCCCGCAGGGATCCCCTAGGATCCGGGCCCACATTGCTTTCTTGCCGGCGGGAGAGCCTACCACTGCTCGTCACCTTCTGGCCCCAGCGGAGGCCTTACTTCCGAGAGGGGAGATGGGCAGCAGAAAGAGGGACCGAATAAGGGTGGGATCGGGAGCAGCGGCCGCCACCGCCACAGCGGAGACGCACTTCACACAAAACACGCGCACACACTGCGAGTCCCCGAGCCGTGGTCCCAGGGACCGGCCAAGGGCCGAGTTTCCAACGGCGCCGGCCTCTCAGTTACACCTAGGAGTTAGCTACGTTTGCTGGGTTGAGGCGGACGACCCGGACCTTTTTATTTTTATTATCAAGCCAGACACCGATCCTTTCACAAAATAATGGTCTGAGGCGAGGGAGGGAAAAGAGGAATGAATGCCTTTGCCTGCCTCAGACTGGTCCAGGCTGCGGGGTCCGTGGATAGGGAGTGACCGTCTTTCTTTGAACTGCCTTTCCTGACTGAGGCTATTCCCAGTTACTTGTTTCCCAGGTGTTTAATGGCTTGATAGGCGAACGCGAGCCGCCCTTGTCTTTTTGTTACGACATAAAACGAAGATAGTTGTAAATTACAAATATTTTTTCATCCCTCCTCTTCATCCCTATTAATTTGGTTCTTGTGCATTAGGGAAAAGGAACCTCATGTAGTCTCTCCAGCTCGCCCCTCCCCCCTTTGTCGTTTAAGGCAAGTTAATTACACGTGCGAACTGATCATAAAATCACTCTTATAAATCCTTCACATCTTACCCCTGAAAATATTTAACATGAAAAAAATACAGATTCATAGCTAATGATGATTAGGACCTAGTAACGTGATATTTAATGCGAATTGCCTTGTGAACAAAATTTTAAAAAATGTAATAATAATGCTCATCTGTTTTGGACCAGAATTTCCTTTTTAGAAAACATAATTGAGCCAAACTCATCCTCCTCCCTATACCCCTCTTCAGCTACTAAAATAGCTTATAAACAACTTTAACCGTCTAGTACTACTTCATGAAGAATTTTTTTTCCTCAAAAATTGTATGGAAACTGTCGAAGATTAAATTAAAATCATTAGACTGAGGGGAACAAAGGTGTGGAGATTTTTATTTGAATTTAGATTATCTTTAACTTTTAGATTGAATTTTTAACTATCTTGAGAGACATGTGATTGATCTGCAGTAATAATATATCTGGTCAGTAAAACTGAATTATCCACCACCCTTTCAGTGAGAGGTAATTTGTTTTGTAGCCTCAATGTTCTTTTATAGCATGTAAAGAAGAGGGAGGTAGATCATCCTTGTTGATTGCTATCAAAGATTGTTATGGTCTTGTTGGTAATTTAAAGTAAGCAATATCCCTAATAACTTCTACTTAACTGGCCTTTCTTTACAAAAAAAAAAAAATAGTACCAGGAATCAGAGTTCAAACATTTAGTACTACAGGTATTGCTAATTTCATCATTTTGTGGCAGATAGGCACTGTTTTGAAACTATCATATCTGTTTTTGGAGCTATCCTGGAGAATATTCTGATTTTTATTTCCTATTGAACAGTTCTATATGTTTGACATACACATTTTTTTTTTTTAATGAAATTGCCTTCATAGTTAACATGAAGCTTATGTCATTAAGAACCATTTCTTAAAGAAATTTTTGGGTATATTTTATTTTGCCTTTGTCCCTTTCGCTAAATTTTTGTAGCTCCTTGAAATAGAAATTCTAGAACTAAGAGCTATTCATATAGTTATGATGGTTTCAGGCTATTTAAATTTATCTAAACTTAGTTATCTAAGTTATCTAAACTTATCTAAGTTTAATGGGGCTGACGTGGCAAACACTAGAGGAACCTGAATATGGTTTCATTTCAATATTTGCACCAGTCCTGTAAGAGCAGTGGCTCTGTGCCTTTTTTCAGATGAAACAGCTACCAGGAGGCAAATGGGTTAGGAAGAAAGAGTATTCTCATAGACTTAAACTTTATTATTAGATAACTTTTTAACCCAATTAAGGACTACATTGTGTTCCCCAATTACTCATTGGGAAATGTTACTGTATAATTTGACTTTACATTTATTACTGTGTACATTTTGTTTGCTCAAAATGAATACAAATGAGGGGGGAAATACCCTTAGTTAAACTACTTTTTGATAAAGAATCTAGTAACTCATTATAATTTTATCCACATTTTGTTAAAAAGCAATGTTTTCTTGAAAATCTGATGTCCTTTTTTTTAAAATATATATTTTATATTATTTATGCATACAAGAGCTAGGGTATAGGTCAGAGGTATGGGGGCACAGTGAGAGGATTCATCAGGGACAGTGGGGAGCAGAGCAAGCAGATTCAGTGAAATACACTGCTGAGGGGAGCAGCAGGCAAAACAGGAGAAATCTGCTACACCATATGTGGCCAACTGTGGAATAGCTCCTTGGCCAAGGATGTAAAGCTGAAATTTTACCCTACGCCACTAGGGAGCCCCTGTATCATAGTTCAAAGAGCAGTTATACTATTCTCTAAATATGCGTTGTGCTATTATGATGTTTTTCAGTTTGCTTGCACAGGGTTTGTGCTTTCAGTTTATAAATGTTTATCTAAAGCAAATGGGTTTTCTATGTTTCATACATAAAGCCAGTGAGTTTAATTTTAGCTGTGTGTCAATCAAAAGTAGTTCTTACTGTTGAAAGTATACTGTAAAATCCACACTTGATTAAACCTATAAACAAAGTGCAATATATTTAAACATAAATTTTGTACTTAATAAAACTTTAAAAATATTTTTTTCAGAAATTCAGAATTGAATTCTGTATTTTGTTTTTTAGATTTATTTATACATACAAAATTGGGGTACAGGCCAGTGGTACAGGGGTGGTGAGAGGGTTCACCAGAGACAGAGTAGGGGGCAGAGTGGGCAGATTGACTGAAATACACTGCTGAGGGGAGCAGCAGGCCGGGCAGGGGAGGTCTGCCACATCCTGTGGGTCACCCCTTACTGGGGATAGAACTAATACTACAGTGGCTGCAATAGTTTTATAGTGCTGTGCTTTAACCTGTTGCACCACCAGGGAGGGCTGAAATTCTGTATTTCAACTGTTGAATAGCAGTCTCATTTTTCAGGTGCTTTGTAATCTCATCTTTAAGTGAATTGCACCTCAAGCAGCCTTTCTGGTACTATCTTTGTGTACTGGAGAAGTACCAAAAACTAATTCTGCTTATTAAAACTTTAATTTCTAATGTCTAAAAGGGGATAAAGTGTTAAAAGTGTTCCTTTATTTTTCTTCTAGACAAAAAAAAAAAAGTCTGTTTAAAGAGCTTTCTAATCTAGAGACCCCATCATTCCAAAACTACGTAGAGTGAGAGCTATTGCCTCTAAGCTTTTAATCTATTACTTGCTAGTCTGTCTGCCTTTGATTTCTTCTTTTCACCCATTCTAGCTTTTTGTCTTGTTTTCTTAACTGTTGTGAGAGCCATCCTTTTAGAGCATCTTCTTTTTCCTCTAAAAGTAAGCTATTCATCAGTGTAACAGAATATATTCTGTTGGGTGAGAATGAAAGTAAAAATTTTAGTAATCAACCAGCCTTCCGTATTCCCATTAATGCTGCTAAATAACCTTTTATAACAGACCTTAGATACTCAAGATGCAATCTCTGTTCTTCATTTACTTAATATAAACACAAACAAAATTACTAAAAGACATCTTTCACTGCAAACCTATATATGCATACCTTTTACTATTTGAAGTTTTAATAAGCTCAACTTTTATGAGAAAAAACATTGTGTAAAATTAAATGTAATTGTTACTACCTTTTAAGGATATCTTATATAACAAATGACCTTGAAATCTTCCTTGAAATTCCTTTACAACTCTTAGATGTACCTAAGAAACATATTAATGAAAACAGTTACTTCAGGCTATGTTGAGGGTAATAATGGGTTGTTCATAACTAGCTACTTTGGGTTTTTTGTTTTTTTTTTGAAGGATTTTATTTATGCTTACAGGAGTTGGGGTGTAGGTCAGAGGTGTAGAAGTGAGATGATTCTCTAGAGTCAGAGTAGGTAGCAGAACAGAAATAGACTGCTGAGGGGTCTTCTTTTCCATATGGGTTAGCTCCCTGGCTGGAGATCGAACTCAAGTTGCAGTGGCTTACATTGGATAATCCCATAGTGCTGGTTAATCCCTTGTATCACCAGGGAGGCGCCATAACTAGCTACTTGTATTACTAGTATATATTGAATAATATTTACAATTTATTAGTCAAATGTGTTATTCTATGATGTGACTTGATTGCACACAAACTGTGGAAGAATCTATAGACCTTAATTCCTAAAATACAAAATACCACAGATAAGTAGATCACTGTACAATATATAATAGTATTTCGTTAAAGGGTCTTCTTGTGAACTCTGTTTATAATTTTAAATTGCTCTGTATTTTATGCTAGTTAATTCATGGGAGCCTCTTCTACTGCCACACAATCTCAGTTCCTGCTGTATACTCTAACAAACAGTGGAAGAGACTGTTGGGTCAGTAGGTGACAACTGCAGAGGTATCTTCTTTATAACGATGCTTTTTGAGGTTGCTGCTCCCATCAATCTGCTCAGTAAAAATAGCTCATCTTGGTAAGTTGTTTCGACTTCACCAGGACCTGAAGAAGAAGCAGAAAAACCTGTGAAAACTAAGACTGTTTCTTCCAGTAATGGAGGGGAAAGTTCCAGTCGCAGCACTGAGAAGAGATCAGCTGAAGAAGAAGCTGCAGACCTCCCAACAAAACCTACAAAGATCTCCAAGTTTGGATTTGCCATAGGTAGTCAGACGACAAAGAAAGCCTCAGCCATATCCATCAAACTTGGATCAAGTGTGAGTTATTTTACATCTGATGTTTGTAAGGGGTTTTCAGAATTTGTTTTGAAAACTTGCTTTTACTAAGTAATGATAAATTAAGCATTAGAAGGTACTTTGGTATGTAAACATACATCTAAACAGTTGTTGGCTCTGTGTTCAAGAACAGTCTGATGAATTATATCGCAAAAAAGCTGGTGTGCTTTTTTTTTTAAGTTTAGAATATGTAAAGTAACAGCTGTTATAGGGAATATATGATTTATAAACCATTAGGATTTTTTTTTTGATTGAGCAAAACCTGAAAAATTATTTCCAGAAAGAATTTCAGCAGTTTTTTCTTGTTTTTCAATTCCGAGATTATTGAAAACAGTATTTTTAGAAATCATCTTATTAGTGCCTTAAATGTTGATATTGGTAAGGCATTTCTTGATAAGAAGCACCTCCTGATTATTTTTGGAGCTACAAATGGACATTAATATAGGTGCTATATTACCTATGATAATAGCCCTTTGGAAATCAACTTTTGACCCATTATTTTAAGGTGTAACCTTGAATTAATAACTTATTTATTATGGGGTAACTGGAAAGTATCTGAAATATTGGATTGAAGTATATAAAGTTTATAAATTTATTTCTGACCTTACAAAAATGACAAATTTAAGTGATTTAAAAAAATGGATCTCTTCAAGAAAGAAAAGTTGCTTTAATAGTATATTGCATTGAGTTTAGAAAATAGTTTCATTCTTGTACAAAGAGGAAAATCTCAAAAATACTTTTGGATTGTTTATCCACATCTGCTCCATGGAAATGCTTACTTGCACAAGTCATACAGCCTTATTTCTGTATCACACATTTATTCAGAGATCTTAAAAAATAAGATATCAGGTCTCTACTAGTGTGTTTGAATTAAACTTCTAGTTTTAAAAGAGGACCCTTAACCCCATTTTATGCTGCTTTTCTTTTTAAAAAAATACTCAGTCTGACCAAAAGTCAGTGCATTTAAAATTTCATTGCTTCCTGACTTTTCTTCCTGTTTGAGCCATTCTTTTTATTTAATCTTTTTTTTTTCTTTTCTGTAGATGTAACTACATTTAATAGTGTGTTAAACATGTATTCTCCCACAGGTGTTCCTTTTGAATAGTAAATTTTACCATGGCTCAATAATATCCTCTAAATAAGATATCCAGATTCCTACTTTTTCTAAATCATTGGTATATTTAGTAAATGATAATCATTTTAGATGAATGGTTATGGTTGAAAAAGCTTACTTAAGTAAAACTTGGAAAACAAAGGCCTGTTTTCATAAACTGCAGTGGTAAACTGTCTTCTTAAGGAAATGAGACATGGGACAAAAAGATAATTAAAACAATACTTTCAATTACATAATGTGAAAGGCTCTTTAATCAACAAATAGTTGTGTCATATGTCTACATAGAATACTTGACATCTTTCAAAGAGTAACTTTGCTGATACGTTTCTTAACTGACATGTTTTTATTCCTTGGAAAGTAAGAACTGCTTACAAAAAGTATGTGTTACAGAAGAATAAATGACTAATTTTGTTAAAGTGGGTCAGAGAAGATTTCACCAAGGCACTAAGTTGGTCTTGAATGCAGGCAGAAGGCAAAAGGGCATCTTAAATAAAAGGAATTTCATTCAGAGCCTATTCATATGTGAAGTTTCATGGGCTATCCAGGAGATTGTTTCTAGTTGGAAAGTATTTGTTAGACAAATAGAATGTTTCCAAAATGAGAGACCATGGGACCAAATCATAAAGGACTTGTATTCCATAACATAGTTTGGTTTTATTCTTAGGTTCCAGCATAGCCATGAAACCATTATTAGGAGTCTCAGCCCTTAAACATATTTGCCTTTTAGAACCATTACTCTAGTACAATTATAGAGCGATAGAAGGGAAAAAATAGACATTTGGGAGATGGTATTTCCAAAAGTAGTTTGCATAAATAATACTAAGGGCCCTTAGTACTGCTATTGTGGTAGTTTGATGGGTATGCATAGGGAGATTTAATTCTTATTTAATAAAAGATCTAGACAACAGGACCTTAGACTAGAATGTGCAAATTGAGAAAAAGGTTTTCTGGCTTTGGTACTTAGGAGCACTATGAAACTAAAGTGCCCATGAGATCTTTCAGTGGAGCTGAAGGTCCAGTAAGCAGAAGACATCCTCTTTAAGGATATAGACATAAGTTTTATAGTTAAAATTATAAGGATGAATGACATCAACCAGGAAAGTGCAGAGAAGGAAAAGACTAAAGGGGATATGGGAGGAATAGGGAGCAGATGTTGAGAAAATTAGGAAAATAGCCCAAAAAAGCAGTGTCAAACTGCAATGTGAATGTTTTAAAACCAAAGCCAGTAACTAGAGTCAAATGCCGCACTCTACTCTGGTGACTTTAAAGGATAGCATCACCTGATACTAGGTGAGGAAGCCAGCTTTTAGCAGGTTTGAATATTGGTAGTGAGACGATGGAGGCAGTGATGACAATTTACTTCAGAAACATAGGTTGAATCGAGAGAAGAAATGGTGTGGATGAAAAATGTTTATAGTAAGCTAAAGAACTGAAAGCTAGCTAGTAGAAAGAAAATGGTTCTTGGTATCGTATATATTTTTAAGGCACTCTGTTTAATTCTAGTGTTACTGTGTGCAGAAGTATTACTTAGGATTTTCTTCTATACTAGGTACAGGTACAAATGACCTTAGCTAAAAGACAATTATAGATCATAACTAGAAGAGCTTTGTAGGAGGAAGACAGATGAACAAAGTAAAACCTACCCATTTTTTACCTACATTCTCAAAAATGTATTCTGTGTTACTTACTGTGTTTTTATAAAAACATCAAGCTGCTTCTCTGAAGCAAGATTATCCATATCATTGAACAAGCCAATATAAACACCATATCTTTAATGTTTCTTCTTTAGAAGCCTAAAGAAACGATTCCAACTCTTGCTCCAAAAACCCTTTCAGTAGCAGCAGCTTTTAATGAAGATGAAGATGTAAGTTCATACCTATTTTGTATTCTTTTAATGATGTTCTCTAAGGAAGATGTTATTTTTTGTTTTATTACTAGTTTTTTTTTTTTTAAAGATTTATTTATTCATACAGAACTGGGGTACAGGCCAGAGATGCGGAGGGTGAGAGGATTCACCAGAGACAGAGTGGGGAGCAGAACAGGCAGATCGACGAAGTACACTGCTGAGGGGAGCAGCGGGCGGGTCAGGAGAGGTCTGCCACGCCATTTGGTCACCTCCGGGGCAGGCGGGAATCGAACTCATGCGGAAGCGGCTTTAGATTCTCAGTGCTGTGCTTTAACCCGCTGCGCTACCAGGGAGGGCCTTATTACTAGTTCTTAAGAATTTTCTTTGTCAGTATTTTTGTCACCTACAAAATATTTTTTTTTATTATTATTATAGGACTATTTAATGTGTTACTGACTTTTCTTGAGGGCAAGAAACTTAAGGACCAGATCAGTACATGAATAATAGTGTAGGGAAGTACTTTGTATCCAAGAAAAAATTGAATACTGCTCCTTCTGATCATTTTTATAATTGAAGTCTTGAATGATGTAACATTTTACATGCATTCTGTCTAAAAAAGACTGCTATAAAAAAATTTCTCTTTGTAGCCCCGGGAAGAATAATAACCACTGATTCTGTAAGAAGTTCTACTCAATAAGTATTAAATGTTCTCACTCTTCTCTTTGGTAATCCTAGTTCCCTCTTATACCATGTACCCCTTTTATCATGCTGATAAAAGAGAGATGGGACCTAAAGCTGTAATTTTCTGCCTTAGGTGCTATTACTTTACAACCACACTTAAGAAGGTCCCATTGTATGACAGTTTGAGTAATTGTTCCCAAAAGCAGTATAGATCAAATTTTACATTTAGAAGAGCTTAAATACTGTTGGACTGGAAGGGCTTGGAAGAATGTAGAAGAAAAGTAATATGAATTAGGTCCTAAAACAGGCAGAATTTGTTTTGGGAAAACCAAGAAATAAGTAGAAATAAGCAGAACAGGATTTTACTGAAATACACTGCTGAGGGCAGCAGCTAGCCAGGCAGGAGTGGTCTGCTGTGCAGTTTGTGGCTTAGCTTCCTGGCCAAGAATCAAACTCAGGCCCTCAGCAAGATAGCACAGAGACTTAAACCCCTCGCCACCAGGGAGCCCCAAAAGGAGAGCCTTTGCTTTGATTTCAGACTATTTAGCTTTATGACTTTGGGCTCATTAAACTTGTTTTGCCTCTCCTACAATCACTTTGGATTGGTAAAGATAGTGAATATTAAAGCATTTTAAAACACTGTGTGGCACATTGTCAGTAAATGGTTTGAGTTATAGAATATTGTTTTTAACCAATTTTTTTCTTTGTGTAAAATCACTAGAAGACATTCATTTCTTTTTTTTTTTTTTTTTAAGATTTATTTATTCTTACAGAACTGGGGTACAGGCCAGAGATGCGGTGGGTGAGAGGATTCACCAGGGACAGTGGGGAGCAGAACAGGCAGATAGACAAAGTACACTGCTGAGGGGAGCAGCGGGCGGGTCAGGAGAGGTCTGCCATGCCATGTGGATCTCCTCCAGGGCAGGCGGGGATCGAACTCATGCAGAAATGGCTTAAGCTTCTTAGTGCAGTGCTTTAACCCGCTGCACCACCAGAGAGGGCCGTGGGGCCGACATTCATTTCTTTTTAAAACTTTTCCTTTTATTAAAATGATAGTATTAAAACTACCAAGACGTACATATAAAATTTAGCATTGTTCATAGTCTTATTTTTTTTCTCCAGAGTGAACCAGAGGAAATGCCTCCAGAAGCAAAGATGAGGATGAAGAATATTGGAAGGTATTAAATTTCACTGTGAATGGGTTTTGTTTGTTTGCAGAAAATGGTAGTGAATTTTAAGAGCAAGTATAAATTGCACATATCTTAATATTCAGACTTTGTTGCATGTTTGTGTAAAATATTTTGTTAGATATCAGTGATCTTATTTTCTCTCTTGGTAAGATATAATAGGTATCTTTAGAAAAACTGGTATTTTGTTTTGTTTTAAACATTTATTTATTTTTGTGTAGATGTGTGGGGTATAGGTATAGGTATAGGTCAGAGGTGTCAGGGATGAGAGGTTTCACCAGAGACAGTAGGGAGCAGAAGTGGCAGATTGACTGAAATAAACTGCGGAGGGGAGCAGTTGATGAGACAGGTAAGTCACCTTCCTGGCCAGGGATTGAACTCAGGCTGACTCGGGGATCAAAGTCAGGCCGCCTGTTGTGGTTTCAGTGCTCATACTTAATCCTTAGGCTACCAGAGAGGCCCAGAAAAACTGTTGATTTAAAGCTATTTCTTGCAGGTACCGCTATATTTTTTCAAATGAGAAATAGCCATAGAAAATGTTTTTTATTTTAAATTTGGGTATTTTTTTGGTACAAGAGAAAAGGCTTTCATTCATTTCATACATGATGTCATTTACACAACTTTTATCTTTTGTGGGTTCCACTCAATAATTTAGATACCAAATACCAATATAAGACAAAAATAATTTAATTTTTTTGTTTTCTTCCATTGTTTCTCTTATCTTCTCTTATTCCATTGTTCTTATGGAAGTGACATTCACTTCAAGTTAACTATGTCATTCGCTTTCCTCTCTTTGTATGCATGAGTGGGTAACTTAGAAATAATTAAAAAAAAAGTTCATCTTAAAATGAGCTCATGCTTTGTCTCCATTTCTACTAAGTGGGAAAGTTTAAACTCCCAAAGAAATAATTGCTAAATCTGTACACAATCATCTGTGTTTAGACTTCCAGTCTGATCCATATAGGAATGGCCCAAGAGGCTGTCTGCTCACCTTCCTTTCATACTGAGACCTAAAGTAAGAAACACATCTGACATTAACCTTATCACCTACTGTGCATGTTTCTAAATATGGAAAGTAGAAACAGAAGGTCATAAAATTTTTTGTCATACACTTTCATGTCTGCCTCTGGTTTTAAATTTTATAAATGTGATACCATGCCACCAAATTCATTTTATTACCCTGTTAATGGGTTCTGAACAAGAGTAATAAAAACTAATGCTTGTCACCCATAACTGTATCAAAATCATCTTACATGTTAAACCTATGGATTTACCAGATCCAGTCTCTGATTTACTAATTCTGAAATTCTAAAACTAGATCTGTGTGTGAGAAGGGTATTTTTTTAAAGCCCTGAAGTGTTGGGGTCTCCCTGGTGACTCAAGGTTTAAAGTCTCAGTACTATGGAGCTGTACATCAGCTGCTGCCAGCAACTGTGGTATGAGTTTGATCCCCAGCCAAGGAGCTAACCCCCATGGCACAGTAGACCTCTCCTGTCTTGCCCACCCCTCCCTTCAACAGTATTATTTCAGTAGATCTGCCTATTCTGCTTGCCGCTGTTTCTGGTGAATCCTCTTAACTTCTGTACCTCTTGCCTATATCCCATTTCTTGCATGCATAAATAATAAAAATAAATCTTTAAAAAAAAAAAACTCTGAAGGGGCTTCAATGTTCAGTTGTGTTTATAAGTGTTAGACAAGTATATATTGAATGAGTTAAAAGGATAGCCCCAAAAATTTATACAATATTTTAAATATGATCTCCTTTCTTTTAACACAGGGATACACCAACATCAGCTGGACCAAACTCCTTCAATAAAGGAAAGCATGGCTTTTCTGATAACCAGAAGCTTTGGGAGAGAAATATAAAGTCTCATCTTGGAAATGTCCACGACCAAGATAATTAAATGATGTGTTTTGAAATTGGGGTGTGGGGTGGGTGTAAAGTTAAAAGGAACAGTTTCCTTTTTAAAGAATGGTTATAAGACTTATCTTTGGAGCCGTCTTTTTTTTTTTTTTTTTTTTTTTTAAAGATTGAGTGGTACACTAATAAATGAGAGTTTGAAATTAGAGGTAATTTATGTTTTATATGCAGATTTCAAGACATTTACTAATTTTGTAGTTTCTTGTGATTAGTTTCCAAAGGTTACAGATAATCAGATATGGTACCTTTTTAAGAATTGCATATTTTTTTAGGCACAACTATTAGCACATTGAGAAGGAAGCAACAAGTTATTGTCTATTTAAACTGCAAACAATTACTCTCTTTAACTCCCTTTTTAGCTAAACTGGCTCCCTGGAACAGCCTTATAGAGAGAGAGAGAGTATTGTATGGGAGGAAAATGTTACTGGACTATTGATTGAAAGTAAATTAGATAAAATTAAACACAATTGTTTTTCCTAAAGGGCATTTGTTTTGTTTCAAGTCATCATAAACTAAGGTATTGCATTGCTATCCATGGATAAAGATGCTTAATTCTTTAAAAAAAATTTTTTTTTTAAATTTTGTGTTAACTGTTAAATATTTGAAAGAGCCCACTTTACTTTAATGGGTCTTCTCTACCTTCTTTAGTCTTCAAGGAACAACCATTTGCTACCAAAGTAAATTAGTATTTTGAATATGCTTCTTTTGGTTTTTGTTATTAGCTAGTTCCTGTAAGCATTTCACCAGAATTCGAGGCAAATCATATGGAAGCTGTTTCTTTTAAAATACAAGCCACCACCAAAAATTTAAATTGTACATAATACTTAATATTTGGCTGTTTTTATTTTTTGAAAGGTATAAACACCAAAAAGAAAAGAAAGTAAACATTGTATGAAGATGGAAAACTAGAAGATGCACTTTCTGTAACTTTGTCAAATCATTTAGATTAATTTATGACATACAGTTTGAGTTAAACTTACTACAGGATTTCTTATTTAGTCCAATAATATGTTTGTTTTTGGTAAATACGTATATACGTATTGATCAATGACCTCTCAAAAGCACATTTTAGGTAAAATGGAAGGAAAGAAAATGCATCTTCAAACATCTTATGGAACCTTTGACCACATAATACTTTGTTAGATCTATGTTGTAAGGTGTTTTTTTTTTTTTGTATTGTGTATGAATTCTTTTTTTAATGTGTCAGCTATACACATTTTTAAAAGCATAGTCACAGGTAAAAGAAACAAAACAATTTCCTTGAAAACTACAATATTAAATTTGCACGCAACTTCAGACAATTTTATGGTGGTAATTACTGAGCTCTTTTAATAGGTGTAACTCAAGAGGAGCAGCCTGTAATATTCCTAACACTTTACTTGCATTTAAGTTTAGCATAAGCCCCAAGTAAAACAATGGAAATGTATATAGAACTATTAGTTCTTTCTTACATGATTTAAATATCAGGATACATAATTTAACTTGCTTTGATGTAGGCAAACTTTCCATTTTGGTCCATTTTAATGTTTGTGTTAATATAACATCCCTCTCCTATATATTCTTTTCTTGACTCAAATGAGATACTAACCTAAGGTCGAGATGGGAGAGAAAAACGACTGAGATGAATGTCTTTACTAAAATACCAATAAATTTGTCAAACTCAATAGTGTTCTTATTTTCTATTCCACGTAATTGTTTTTAACTTTAACTATATATATATATATATATATATATATATATATATATTTTTTCTTGCCCAGATTTTGGGCCAAAGTAATCAGTGATTTAAAATTTTTCTTGAAGTCTGCCTAATATAGCACATAATTCTAAAGGGTTACAGTATTACAGTATCTTGGGTTAATCTAAATTCTCTTGCTTGTATCGTGTGCTATAGAAAATCCCTAAGTATTAGAAGGTATTATTTGTGCTTACCATTCATTGTCGCTCTCTGTATTTTTTTATGTTGCTTTTGCCCAATAGGTTAGTCTTTGGTAAATGAAAAGGCTGAACTATATTATTTGAATTAGGATTAATTTCTAGTTTGACTATAAGTGAAGGCTCTGAGTTTCAAATGTTTTTCTTTAGTAAGTTCAACTTGACATACTGTGCAGGGATTGTTGAAGTCATTTTCCTAGTCAAATGGAGATACTTTGACATTTTTTGACACTTCATTTTGAAATTTTTTCACTCTTAAGAACATTACAAAAATATTAAAAGCATTTTAACATTTGTTCTCCAAATGTTGACATCTTATGTAATCACAGGGCAATTAATATATCAAATCAGGGAATTAATATATTAATGTTATACTGTTGTCCCAACACGTAAACTTTACCACTTAAATTGCTCCACTGTCTTTTTTTATTTTAAGATTTTTTATTTATTTATGCATACAAGAAGTGGGGGTGATGTGAGAGGATTTACCAAAGACACAGTGGGGAGCAGAACAGGCAGATTGACATACACTGCTGAAGAAAGCATTGGGCAAGACAGAAGTCTGCACCATGTGGCTCATGTGGCTCAGCTTGCAGTAAAAGAACACATGCTGCAGTGGCCCAGTGATACCATTGAGACTTAACCCTTTATGCCTCCAGAGAAGCCCTCCACTGATTTCTTCCTAGTTAAAAGTCTTCACTTTCAAACAATTTTGTTGTCATTGACCGAAGATTTAAGATATAGGTCAATTAGTTGTGAAGGGTCTCTCACATAGGGCTTGCCTAATGTTCCCCTATGATTACATTTGATTATTGCATTTTTAGCAAGATTAACAAAACATGTCCTAGGTGTGTCAGCAAGCAAAGAGTCAGTTTACCCTATTACTGGTAATATTAACTTTGATCACAGTTAAGGTGGTATCTGCCCAGTTTCTTCATTTTAAATTTGTTTTTCTTTTTTGTTTTAGTATCATGTGGGGGAAGTTCTGGAAGCTAAGTACTTTTAAAAAATTTATTTATGGGTACAAGAGTTGAGATACAGAGGTATGGGGAGTGGGAGGGTTCACCAGAGACAGTGGGGAGCACAATAGGCAGATTGACTGAAATACACTGCTGAGGGAAGCAATGGGTGAGACAGGAGAGGTCTGCTGTGCCATGTAGGCCACCTCCCTGGTCAGGGTCAGACTTGTGGATTGAGCTCAGACTGCAGTGGCTGTCCACAGCTTCATAGTACTGAGACTTAAACTCCTGAGCTACCAGGGCAGCCCAAAACTATGTAATTTTTTTAAGGTTTATGTATATATACACACACGTGTATGTATGTATGTGTATATACATAAACCTTAAAAAATTATGTATATACACGCAAGAACTGAAGTACAGACCAGAGGTAAGGAGGGTGAGGGAGAGGATTCATCAGAGACCGTGAGGAGCAGAACAGGCAGACTAAAAAGACACTGTAGAGGGGTGCAGTGGATGAGGAGACAGGAGAGGGCTGCCTTGCCAAGTGGGCCATGGATCGAACTGGTGTGCAGTAGCTTTGGATAGCGTCATAGTGTACGTTTAACCTGTTGTGCCACCAGAGAGGGCCCAATTAAGTTTTTTTTTTTTTTTAAGATTTATTTATTCATTCATACAGAACTGGGGTATAGGACAGAGATGTTGAGGGTGAGAGGATTCACCAGGGACAGAGTGGGGAGCAGAACAGGCAGATCAATGAAGTACACTGCTGAGGGGAGCAGCGGGAAGGTCAGGAGAGGTCTGCCACACCATGTGGATCTTCTCCAGGGCAGGCGGGGGCTTGAACTCATGTGGAGGTGGCTTAAGCTTCTTAGTGCTGTGCTTTAACCAGCTGCGCCACCAGGAAGGGCCCCCAACTAAGTATTTTTAATAGTGGTTTTGCCCATGCACTCATGTTTGTGTTTTTAGTAGTTTCTTCCTGAAATAATTGTGTGTCAAACAATAATTTTCAGTTTTCATCTTCCTTCTGCTCTCAGTTTTCTTCCCTATTCATTGTTCAGTTATTTTATTACTAAAGAGCCCATGTATTCCAATGTTATTGTATAGGTTGTAGCTCACTAATTTTGTTACTCAAATCCAACATTTGCCATGCAAAACCCTTTCCAGTTCACCTCTTTGGCTTTTTGACATATCCCCATCCTTTTTTGTAATAACTTCCTCAATTTCTGACACCAAGATAATCATTAGTCTCACCTTGTATTTTTTCTATCCCTAAGATCTGATTTCTTTAAGCATTTACAGTTCCTTTTACCAGAGAATGGCATTTCATTTTACTCATTAAAAAAAGCAAAATCAACTTGGTGTATTGACATGTCATTTTCACTAGACTGCTTTAACAGCTAGAAAATATATGTATGCACATTTGTATTTCTTGACCTATATATGTACATTTATATGTATGTCTACTATAGGTATATGTTTCTCCATGAGCTCATACTAATAACCTCCAATACTAGTCTAACCTCACAGAATTTAGTCTTCCTTACTATGTAATTTGTCCTAACAGTGAGAAGCATGGATTTTTATTTCCATGTGCACTTATATTTGCTTAATTTCTAGAAACACACAGTGTATTTTTGTGTAGTTCCCTTTCAGTCTTAAAAGAGTTTATAATCCAGTTATCTTGGTTTTTTTGTATGTGAATCATTAAAAGCTCCAAATTAGAATAACACAAAGTATTAATCCTTTCTCTTTCTCCTTACATTTCTATTTTGTTTGTATCTATCCCATCTAGGTAACCTAGCTCTAGTCTATTCCTTTTTTTTAAATAAGTAGATGGATATTTATTTCCCCTTTGTCTTAACATGAAATGTAGTAGTTACTTTTTTACACCTTTTTCACATTACAATATGCCAGTTCGTAAAAGTCTTTCTCAAAATGTTTCAGCAACTACTTGGTACTCCACTGTTTTAATATAATAATGCTATAGTTTATGCAGTTTTTACGTGTATGCATTTAGGTTATTTCTAATATCTTGGCATTATAATACTTACTGAATAACCTTGAACATGTGTATTTTCAGATTGGGATGGATCTACAGGTAAATTCTCAGAAATAGGATTGCTGGGTCAAAATACAAATTCATACTTCTTTTTGTTGGATATTATCACATTTTCTTCCAAAAGTGTTACACAGTTTTTTCCACCAGGAATGTTAGATTCTTACTCTTAACAACACTTAGCCAACAAAATGTGTCCTGCTTTTTAATTTTGCTAAATCTGATCAAAATGGCATTTCAGTGTAGTTGTAATGTGCATCTAGCTTTGAGATTGAAATCTTATATATTATTAGAGACCATTTGAATATCTTTCATGCATCATCTTATCTCCATATTATTAATGGGCCTTTGGTCCTTTCTCAAATTTCAAAAATTTTTTATATATAATTTGTCTTTAATATGTGTTATAAGTAGCTTATCATGCCCTGTGGTTATGATTCTGGTGATTTTTGCAATTGCAAAAAATCCTCTTTTTGTAGCCAACTAGCCTCTTAGTTGTAATAGAAACCCTTTCTCAATATTGAGGTTAAAGATGAACAGACTCATGTTTTCCTAATATTTATATTTTTAGTTTTTAGATTTCTGACCCATTTGGAGTATATTCCTGTGCATTTGTGATATTGGGGTATCAGTTAACATATCTTTATATTAGCCATTGCAATCAAGAGCATCCTGCTTTAGTTATTCAGGAGTGTTTTAAACTTCTCTCCATAGGTTTTGCATATTTCTTGTTAAAGTTATTCCTAAGTGTTAAATCTTTGTTGCTACTGAAGCAGGTTTTCTGTACTGTACTGGTTATAATTTTTGCAAATTGAAAGCTATTTCTCTGTTAATTCTGTATGTTTCTGCCTTTCTGAATTCTTTTTTTTAATCATTGATTCTCTTATGATTTTCCAGCTATACTATCATATCACCTTCAAATAGAAATGTTTTACTTCATCAGTTTCTCTCTAATTCATTTTTCTTGATTAACTGCATTGCTTAATACCTCTAGTACAATACTATATATAGTACAATAGTAGAAATGATGTACATTTTTGGCTTATTCTTGCTCTCAGTAGTGTTTTACCATTGAATAAGATGGTGACTTTAGGGCTAAACATTATATCATGTTAAAAATAATCCTGCTATTATCAGGAATGGATGTTGACTTTTGTTAAGGCCTTTTAGGCATTTATACCAATGAAAGAAACCTTGTAATTGTTAATATAGAACACTTAGATATAACACAAGTAGCAACCAGGAAAAAACTACTACCCTTAAGAGATGAGAAAATAAACAAGTGAAAGATGAAAAAACTTAGAGGAGCGAAATTCAGACCTTTGAGGAGATTTGGCTGCTGCAAGAAAGAGTGACACACCAAGTTGCTTATCACAGTGAAGCCAAAGGTTGGAACCCCCCTAATTCAATCTTTGCATGAAAAATCCCTGGTGATTTTTCACCACCCCAAAGAAATCTATTGTTGATTAGCATTAAATTTTGGTTTTATAGGTTTTACTTTTTAATTCCCTATCTTTTTCAAATTTCCTACATTGATCTTACATGACTGTGGTAATTGGAAAACATGGTGTGTGAGGAAGGAGAGGGATTTCTAAGTCAAACTGAGTTAGCTATCATGTGAGGACTTCAGATACGTGAGAACTTTTCTCACACCAAAGGCCTTTGAACCACATCATGTTAATAGATGTCCACTCTTGCATATAGACAGAACTCTTATACCTGTGTACTTTTCTTATGTAATAAGGATATGTAAGCAAATGTGCTATTATCCTAAATATCCTTGCCTAAGCAAAGTCCTAAGGGAATACATTATCTGCAGCAATCATTGGATTCACACTGATAAATATTTAGAAAAAAGAAAAATACATGCTCTATGTAAAATAGCAAGGATGCTTAAGTTTGGCTGCTTTAACTCAGGAATATGTATCTTTGGCTGGTATGTTACCCAGGGAGACCAGTTAATTTTACTCAGAACTAGGTATTGGCCTGATTGCATTCCATAGGTACAGAACTTGAGTTATCTAATTTTATTCCTGCCTTTAGAATTCCATAGCTAAATGATGGTTGGTGTGCAATTTGGATAGATTGATAGACTGGACTTTCCTATGTAAACCGAAAACAAGACATTGCAGTGTATTATGCCCTGAGCATAAAAATTAAAGAGCAGAACACTTAAGTAACACAAAGAACACACCATTGAATAATTAGATGTTGAAGTATTTACAAATGATTTAAAACAAATTTAACTGAAGGTACATTTGAGAATGAAAAGGTGTGTATGTGGAGACAGTATAGTGGAATTGTGCTTTCCCACTCAATTTTGATATGAACTTATAGCTACTATTAAAAATCAAGGTACAAGCAGCGGTTTCACTCAGATTCACAAGGTAGCATTCCATCAATATAATGAGATATGAAACCTGCGAAATAAATTCTAACACTGTTGTGTTGTATGTGATTTCATATATATGGCATATCAGTAAATTTTCCAAAACAGGATTTAAGTGTAGTGAGAATTTCAAAATATCTCTTTGAGAATAAAATGTCACTTTTTTTTAAAGGTGATTTTCCCCACTGTATTCCATTTGAATACAGTAGGCATTAACTATGTAATGCTGCAAGGAAGAAAAAAATTTGACTTCCACCATAGGTCTTGCTTTTTCTTAACAGGGTTAACTTAAGCAGTTGCTAGCCCACTCCAACTCGAAAATAACAGATGCTGCTGCAGGCACCATGCTAAAAGGAATCAAATTATATCAACATTTAACAACCATCCCTTGTCAAAAACAGTTAATTCCTCTTGTTTCTTTGCTATAGGCATAAAGCAAGAAGGAAATGGGGACTTCAAATAGAATGGCAGTTGAAGTATTAATCTAGAAATAATGTTATTCTAATATGTGCTCAGTGATGTAAGGTAGTATCTCATTGCAGTCTTGATTTCTATTTCCCCGATTATAACTGATGTTGGACATTTTCTCATATGCCTGTTGGCCATTTGCATTTCCTAAAAGAGGAATTCTTACATACTAATGTAAAAGTTTCTCCCCATGAGAATATTAAAACTAGAATTTTTGGGATCATTACTAACACTTGATTATATGTTATATAATTCAACAATTTAAATATCTAAAGAAGTCAGTTATTCACACTATTAATTTTGTTTGATAATATAATTGTGTTCCCACAATGTTATTTTAAATATGTTCAACTTAATCCATTTTAAAATGGATTAAGGTATTAAAGAGCAACTGATTTATTATGAGTTGGAGATAGTGACAAGTGAACTCCAAAGCTTCGATTTTTAAACAAGATTCAACATCTTTTATTTACATATTTATGACAAACATTAATGGTCTTTTACAACTAAATCTAATAACAATGGTCAGAACAGAACAGAAAAGGCACAATTCCAAATTTTAGTCATGTTGAAATACAATTCCACTAACTGAAAGATACTACAAACAAGCAGCCATTATAGACTGCATGTCAATACTCAAAACTGAAAGCCACACAGCTATTGAAACAATGAGAAATTTTTGCAAATGTAAATATTACATATGTAAGTATAATGCATGCATGGCATCACATTTATCTTTTAAGCCATTTTAAAGTAAACTGAAATAAGTATCTTAATATATGTACATCAAGGCACATTCTTTTCTCTTGTGCTTTAGGAATGATTTACATATGTGATTTGCTTATATCTCTGTTTACACCTTTTAATAGTTCTAATACTTAAATTTTAACAATTACAGCTTATGTGGTGGTTTCCCAGAGGAGAAAAATGTGGCATCTCCCCATGTTACTTTGAAAATCAAGAATTGGCTATCTTAAAAAGGAATTCAAAAATCAAACACAAATTAGTAATTAAAATTTCAGGTAACTTTCGAAAATAATTTACTTTCAACAATTTGGTGGACCATAATCAATTTCTTTAGGTAGTATAATCTAATAAGGGCTGAACTGAAGATTTCTCAATATTCTGAAATTATTTGACAATTATGGCATCTACAGGGCTGTAGATCTCTATTACTACCTATTTCTAAACTGCAGTTTTTCAACAAAATCGAACCAGTAAACATGATACAAAAGCTGCAAACATACTAAACCTGGTTTAAATGTCATTCTTAGGCAAAAGAATGAGTCTTATTTTTTAATTTATCCTAGGTTATCGTGGAAAAATCTCCCAACAAGTGTTTAATGACAGTATTATCTGCTCATGGTCAATTTACTTGCCTTGAAGAGATAGTATAATAAGGCTTTAATAGGCATTTCATGCATTTTAATGGCATTTTAAAAATCAACTACTCATTTAAGGTTTCCCTATGTAGGTAAGTAAACTGTGCAAACTTGATTACAACATGTAACTCATTAAGTGCTTTAAAACAGAAGAATCCCTGACTTATAAGGAGTTAAAATAAATAGTAAGTCAAGAATCACAGAGTTGAGGCATTAAAAAAAAAAAGTTACATACTTAGGCATCCTACTAAAATGCTTTATTAGAATTTTTTTTTAAACCATAAACAGGGCAAATGAAGTCATAGAACCCCTATATTTTGAGAATAAAGAAAAATCAAACTGGTGCAGCCTTTTAAACTCAAATATATGTCAAAATGCAAATGAAACTGTACAGTTTTTAATTTAGCACAGTCCTTTATAAACATTAATTCATAAAAAGTATATACCATGATAAACCACTGTCATCAAAGGTTTTCAAGTTCTTTACAGTAAGTGGACTTTTCTACAGAATCCATTAACCAGACAAACCTTTTAGAAATGTTGAACATCACCAAATAGCCCAGAGCCTTGACATACAAACTCTAAGCAAATAGTCACATAGTATTGTAAACAAATGCTCTATTAAGTTCAGTATACATGAGATGTCACTTTTTATCTCCACTCCTATATTCATTCTGTTTCTGAAATATGTGCCACTTCCACTTCAACTGTTTGAATTGCTTCTGCAACTTCAGATAGCTTTTGTCCTTGTTGTTGTGCCAACACATAATTAACAACCTGCATAATACTTTGGTCAGAAAGTGTAGATACTGAAGGACACTCTTCAGTAGCAGCAACAGCTTCAAGAGCTTCCATAGTTTCCCCTGTCACTACCACAGCCTCAATTTCTTGAGGACCACTGCTTTCCTGTTCTTGCATGTCTGCTGTTAAGATGCTAACAGCATGCTCCACTTGAGTTCCTTCATTATGAAACCGAAGTGTATCTTTTTCCAGCATAATTTTGCAAGGCACATAATCTCTGTGGAATTTAGTCATATGTTTACGGAGTGTTCGAGCGTCTATGTAGGCTTCACTACATACTGGACAAACATAAGGCCGTTCACCAGTATGTGTTCTGACGTGGCGTTTCAGAGATCGGGCATCAGCCCAACCTACTCCACATGTTAAGCACTCAAATGGCTTAACTCCTATTAAAAAACAAAACAAAACAAAAAAGGTGACAAAGAGGCATGGTGAGGTACATCAAAATATATAAATATATTCAAGTTGCCTTATAATGCTTTTCAAGTACAACAGGCCTTACTGTCATGACTATGGCAGTCTTCTATAAGGGACCTATGGTTTATTTTAGAATAAGATTCTGCACTATAATCTTTCAAAAGATATTCCCATGGATAGAAATTAGTAAGACAAATTTCATTTTCTATGCATACTCTCATTTAACAGTTATGACAATCCTATATTAGGATGAGGAAACACAGGTTACACATAGTCTTACTTCACCATAAAAATGCTGATATAGACTATCAAGCTCACTGAAAAAGGAAATTAGGTAATAGGCAAGAGGATTGATAAAGGGAGAATCATTATATACTGGCTTGGCTTTTACTTTACATATATAATGCTATATTTAATTACCTTCATGGTTGTTCATGTGTCTCCTGTACTCTCTGAGCTGAGTGAACTTTCTTCCACATTGTTCACATACTCGTTCCAAGTTCTGCTTTGCTCTTCCTTTTTTCCCATGGGTGGCTTTTTTTACATGCCTTCTAAACAATGCTTTTTCATAAAATTCTTTGCCACATATGTTACACCTAAAATATGAGGTGGAAAACCTGAATTTTCAAAGTACCAGTATCCATAAGAATTAATCCAGGCCTGCCCAAGTGGCACAAGTTGAAGTACAGCACTGCAAAACTAGATGGCAGCCATTTCACCACGAGTTTGATCCCTAGCCAGGGAGGTGACCCACATGGCACAGCAGACTTCTGACCTACCCGCTGCTCCCCTCAGTGGTATACTTCATCCATCTGCCTATTTTGCTCCCCATTCTCTCTGGTGAATCCTCTCACCACCCCTGTACCTCTGGCCTATACCCTGGGTCTCACTTAACTTCAGACCCTCCTCAGATTTACCCACCTGTAAGGTTCAGTGACAGAATGAGACTTCACATGGGAATACCAATCTTTCTTCCAACTATAGCATTTATCACAAAATTGGCACTGGAATGGTTTTACACCAAGATGTTTATTCATGTGCTGACGAAGATCTCTAGCTTCAAAGAAACTTTTTTCACATCTGCAATAATAAAGTGCAGTCATCCAACGAGTTCATCATCTTATTTTTTTAAAACAAGTTCATAAAAATTCAGTAAATCCTTAGATTTATGAAGTCCACAGGATGATCCCAATATAAGACAAAAGAATTTCCTAGTATTCCAATCTTACATCAAGGCATATTTTTTTTCAAGGCATATTTTTAAAGTTTTTTAAGCTCTAAAGCTTGAGAAATTTTAGAAAGAACTATGCAGAGCTCCCACAGGTTATTACACAGGACATTTATTTCTGTCTTCTCCTTAACCCCCTCTAATCCCTTTCTTTCATATTCTTAACCCTCTCTCATTATTTTTGTCCATGTGCTGGGAGTAGACCTCACTCTTGAACAAGGATGAAGCAACTGACTCAGGCCTAAGTCAATGATAGTTCGATCCCTGCCCCAGAGGTGACCCACATGGTGTGGCAGACCTCTCCTGTCTCGCCCGATGCTCCCCTCAGCAGTGTCCTTTGTTGTATTGCCTGTCCTGCTCCCCATTGTTTCTGGTGAATCCTCTCGCAGTCCCTGCACCTCTGGCCTTTACCCCATTTCTGTATGCATAAATATAATCTTTAAAAAGAAAAAAGAAACATGAGTCTCCAGTTTCCCTTAATGGTTGCAGTGGAAATACAATTGAACAATACTATTTTTTTTTCTTATAGTTGTGTAAAAAACAGTTTCAGTACAGTGCCTCTTTGCGAGCACACCTCATTTGACATACCAGAAAAGTTTGGGTATCATGACTGTGTCAGAGAAAAACAGATCAAAAGGTAGTACATCTCAAGGTTTTTAAAATAGCAACTATTAAAAGTGGTTTTGCCACTGTTTTGTCCATATACAGCCTCACAGACACCAAGTACAAATGAACCTGAACCCAATTTAAAGTACTCAAATCTAGATTTTACCTTTCATTCAGGTCAATTTGGATTGTTCCCTTTCACTTGCAACTAAAAATGTATTGGTAACAGACTCACTGATTTACAGTAAGACTGACTAGAATGTTTTAAGAAAATATGGCAGAGTAGGGAATGTCTATCCCTCCACAAAAGTACTGAACAAATAGGCAAAAATTGTCATAAACAACTTCACTGAAGCTCTGTAAACTTAGCAGTTTATGGCAAAAGATAAATGTTTAATCAAGGGGGGAAAAGTATTGATTTTCAGCATGAATTTTCTGGCATTTCAATTTATTCTAGCCCCACCCTCAGTTCACCAGCAACAGTTAAGACAACAGATTACAGTTCTCCCTGGTGGTGCAACGGGTTAGGACTGCAAGCTGGCCTCAGCCACTGCAGTCCAAGTTTGATCCCATACTGGAGGTGAGCCCATGGTACAGCAGACCTGTTTTGCTCACTGCTCTCTGCAGCAGTGTACTTCGTTGACTTGCCTGTCCTGCTCCTCACTCAGACTGGTGATTCCTCTACCACCCCTAAATCTCTGGCCTACTGTACCCCAGTTCTGTATGTATAAATAAATAAATCTTAAAAAAAAAAAAAAGAAAAAAAGCAGATTACATTCCAGCTATGGGTTCTTAGTAGCAGAGGGACTTAATCTCACGCAATTACATTTGTTTGTTTTGATCTATCTAGTGACACCATTAAGAAGCACCTCAAAGGGACTGCCTAACTCCTCCAGGTTTGAGGATTGAGGAGAAAGGAAGAGGGTATTTTTTTTAATTTTTAAGATTATTTAAGCATACAAGAACTGGTGTGTAGGCCAGAAATGCGGGATGAGGGCGAAAGGATTCACCAGAGACAGAATAGTGAGCAGAACAGGCAGATGTAGTAAATCCCTACATCACTAGGGAGATCCAGGAAGTTTGTTGAATATACCTAAAGGCAGGGCCCTCCCTGGTGGCTCAGCAGACTGGAGCGCTGCACTGCGAAGCCAAATCAAGCCAAACCATGGCACTTCACTGCAAGTTTGATCCCCGCTCCAGAGGTGACCACATGGCACAGCAGACCTCAGACCTGTCCTGTCTTGCCCACTGCTCCCCTCAGCAGTGTACTTTCTCAATTTGCCTATTCTGCTCCCCACTCTGTTTTTGGTGAATCCTATCACCCCTGCACCTCTGGCCTTTACCCCATTTCTGTATGCATAAATAACATCTTAAAAAAATTCTTAAAGGCACACATCACCTGACATAAGGAGTAACAGTTTGCAAACAATATACACCCCTAATCTTGAGAGGAATGGCTGGGGAATGAGATGTTTGGTAACATGGATTTCAAAAAACTCTCACATTGTCAGGAATTCAGAACTCCATCCACACATTTGCACAGAGCTGGGCATATTCTCAGAAAAGACCTCAAAAGGCCCTAAACTCTAATCTCTGGCTAACTGCACAAACAGGAAGGTTACGTCAGAATTGTAAAGTGCCTGGTGCCAACTGAAGGCATTCTTAAATTAGTGGTCATGGCTTACACCACAGTGACTACACTAAACACCAATAAATTTTACACTTTAAAATGATGAATTTTATGTTATGAAAATTTTACCTCAATTACAAAAAAGAAGTTACAGGAGGCTTTGTTGTATGAAAAAAGAAAAGGTAGAAAGAAAAGTTATCTGAAAAAAGGAGAAACTAACAAAGGTCCTAGCACTTAAAAGGAACTACCTAGGAAGCAACTCCTACTAGAACCAAAGACTTTTTCGCTATAGTTCCTACTGTTTGTAGTACAATGAAGAATCTCTTAAAGTTATTTTAAATGAGTGATGTGTAGTAATGTATAACTAAATGAATGGTTAAAAAATAATAAACAGTAACATCTGAGCAAAATCTGATTAAAATGAAGAGTAAATAAAAAGCATTTATCACTGTAACATTTCAAATATTTTAACTTTGTTGAGAAATAACTGACAAAACCGAAATACAAAGTACATTCTGTGATTTTTCATGATATATACCTAATGATCTGTAATGATTAATATACATTTGAAAGGATTCTTCCATATCACTAATTAACACATCAGTATGAAGATTTAAGCTCTACTATCTCAGCAAAACTCAACTGTACAATAGTGTTATCAATCAAAGTAACCTTGAATACTTTCTTTTGAAAACAACTTTCAAATAAACTAAGAATTAAAGAAAATTAACTGAGTAATTAACAAATTAAATACTTACTGAGTACAGTGATAACCTCGGACCTCAGGCTTTGGCTGGTGTTTCTTTAAGTGTTTGCTGAGTCCAGAACCCCTATGAAAAGACTTTCCGCAAACTGAGCAAAGGTACATGGACTTTCCTATAAAAAAAAAAGTCATAAATCAGCAATCAAGTAGTATTCCAAAAGAACATTTTACTTCTGTAATATTTCTGATATTGTTCTATAAAGGGGACATGTACGCTATAAACTTTGACAGCTACCTTCAAGGAATACTAACAAATTATATCAAAATTTCTATTTCCTCTCAACTGTAACATACTAACAAGGCTACCAGTCAAGAAAAGCCAAGCCATGATTATTTGCATAATCATTTAGATAACATTAGAGTTGACAGAAGCTCTAGAACAGCTATCAGCCCTTCATCAGCCATTTCCATATAATTGCTTTAAGCATCTGAAAATAAGTATGTGGAAAGTAAAAATTCTAATAAAATTACAAATCACATATTGACAGCTACATCTTCCTATTGCATAACTTTTTAAAGCACAACCATTTCTTTAGGTGCCAATCTAAAGTATGTATTAATACAAATTTTTGTACCTGAAGGAAACAGTATTTTATACAAATAACTCTTAATACCTAAATTAAAAATTTAAGGATTTTTAAAAAAAGACTTATTTATTTATTGATACAGAACTGGGGTATATGCCAGAGATGTGGAGGGTGAGAGGATTCACCAGAGACAGAGTGGGGAGCAGAACAGGCAGATGATCAAAGTACACTGCTGAGGGGAGCAGCAGGCGTGGCAGGAGAGGTCTGCCATGTGGATCTCCTCTGGGGCAGGCAGGGATCAAACTCATGCGGAAGTGGCTTAAGCTTCTTTGTGCTGTGCTTTAACCGGCTGCACCACCAGGGAGGGCCATTAAGGATATTTTTTAATAAAATACCTGCACACATGCAGTCATCAGTATATCAATATAATTTCCAAAATAATTACAGCATAATAAAATGGCAATTAACCATTTTAACATATATAACATATAACTACATGAGTATAAATTTTTCATTACCTGTGTGAATACTCATATGTTCTTGAAGACTTCGTTTGGTAACAAATGACTTAACACACAGTTCACACTGGAACTGCTTTTGGGATTGATGAAGACTCTGGTGTAATTTTAGACCATGCTTGTAGATGAAAGTCTTTCCACAGACCTAAGACAGCACAAGGTTTTAAGGCAGTAAAAACAGAAAGGGAGATAGATGCTGAATCTGTAGAATGAGGACAGAGAAAACTACTGTGTCCATCGCAAATAAAAAACTTAAATTAGAAACAAAATTACAAGGTGAAAATTGAAACCAGAGACAATATTTTAGCTATTCATCTTCTGACTTAAATTTTAACAAACACTGCTATTTTTTTTTTTTTACAATTATATGATCACTGGAACTAAAAACAAAACAGGAAAAAAAAAAACAACTCAGTACAGTGCTGCCCTTGTTAGTTTGGTAAACAAAGTATCTCATATTAACAGACATAAGAGTTTAATCAAGAACAATACACTTACTTCCTGCTATACCTAGTAGAAGTGGGCTTCCCCCACCCCCATCCCACTCAATTAGGGAGAGATTTTTGTTGAATAGAATAAATATGTCAGAGTGAAACGCCATGACAGTTTTCTACATGCTTACTCTCCATTGCTGCACTTATATCTCCCATACACAAATCATTATGAGACGTGTTACACTGTTAAGACCAACAACCAAAGAAATATTTAGTTTAAAAATATGTAAATAAAATGATGCTTAGGCCTTGACTTCAAAATAATTGAAGGTGAAGAACAAGACAAGAATGTCCATTACTTCTTACTTCATATTAGAGGCTTAGACAGAAAGAGTGGATATGGGAAAAGGATAGTTTCAGTAAATTGGAAAGTCAACATAGAAGAATGTAGTTGGATCACCTGCTAAGCTCAGACACAAAAATAAATTCCAAATCAGTTAAAGATTTAGATATAAGACCTGCAACAATAAAATATATATAAGGAAACACTGGTGCTACATTCCATCAACAATTAAGATGATTTTTGGTGACTCTACTCCTTTGGCAAGGGAAGTAAAATAAACAACTGGAATTACCTTATGTTAAAAAGCTTTTATAGCACAAAAGAAAACACAAGATTAGAAACATGCCCTATTGAATGGGAGAAAGTTGTCTCATAATACAAAACTGTTAAGGGGCTAATATTCAGGATACATAAAAACACCTAATTTAACAATAAAAATGAAAACTCTCCAATTGACAAATGGGCAGCAAAGAATAGACAACTCACCAAAGGGGATCCAAAGGCCAATTAGACATATGAAAAATGCGCATCCTTGCTTCGAGTAAGAGATGTACAGCTTAAAGCCATTAAGAGGTACTATCTCACGTCTATGAGAATTATATATATGGAAAAGACCTCTAGGGCCTCCCTGGTGGTGCAGGTATCTCCAGCAACTGTGGCAGGAGTTGAATCCCCAGTCAGGGTACTAGCCCACATGGTACAGCAGACCTCTCCTGTCTCGCCTGCGGCTCCCCTCAGCATTGTGTTTTGGTATATCTGCCTGTTCTACTCCCTACTTTGTCTCTGGTGAATACTCTCACCACCACCCCGCCCCTCACACACACACCTGTGGCCTACACCCCAGCTCTTGCATGCATAGATGCAAGATACAGATGCTATTAGAAAAACTTCACTATTCCAAATTACATTAAGAGCTGCCCAATCCCAGGATTCTTTTACCCAGGAGTCATATTTTGGTATTTAGGTACTCTCAGTCCTCAATTCTTGAAAAAGATGTATAGCTTAGGCAGGATTTTTGCTAAGGAGATTTACTGAAGCCATAGATTCATTTCCAGTCCAAGTTGGTCCTGCTGAAGCTTAAATGATGATTGAGATGAAGTAGTTATTCTTACCCAGTACAATCCTCTGAATTCTATTAACTTTCACAAACATTCCAAAAAGATTAATTTCAAGTTATAACTTGAGAGAACAAATTAAAAACACAACTGGTAATCACCCTTGAGTAGGCAACAAAGTAAAGTCAGAATTCCTTGAACATTCTAAGAAAGAGAAGGAGACTCCAAAAATCAACAATTTCATAACCAGTTAAGTTCAAATATCCTTCAAATAACAAAATAAATGGAAAATTTTACCTGGCATGCATGTGGCTTTACACCTGTGTGCTTTAACATATGTATTCGCAGTGAATATAATTTAGGTAATATCCTTCCACATATGGAACATATAAATTCTCGTTTGGTTCTGCCCTTCTCAGACGAAGTTCCTGATGCCTCATTAGATGCAGAATTGGATGACGAAGTGGGGGTATCTTTTCTGGTATGTCGAATGAGGTGTGCTCGCAAAGAGGCACTGTACTGAAACTGTTTTTTACACAACTATAAGAAAAAAAAATAGTATTGTTCAATTGTATTTCCATCGCAACCATTAAGGGAAACTGGAGACTCATGATTCTTTTTTTTCTTTTTAAAGATTTTATTTATGCATACAGAAATGGGGTAAAGGCTAGAGGTGCAGGGACTGCGAGAGGATTCACCAGAAACAATGGGGAGCAGGACAGGCAATACAACAAAGTACACTGCTGAGGGGAGCATCGGGAGAGACAGGAGAGGTCTGTCACACCATGTGGGTCGCCTCTGGGGCAGGGATCGAACTTGCACTGAAGCTGCCATGGCTTGGCTTAGCTTCACAGTGCAGTGCTCCTATCCACTGCACCACCAGGGAGGGTCTACGAGACTCATATTTCTACTAACTTGTTGCGCCAATTGTATAAACCAATAAACATATATAATGTTTAGTGGTAAAGGCAATGGAATGCTAATAAAAACATATACTATATAAACCAGGTACCAGATTATAGATATAAAAAGGATAAGACCCAGTCTTTAACTCTGCAGAAGTATATAATATAGTCACAGGAACAGGATTTATATGTTAAAAAGAGAATATCTAAGAGGAAGTTATCAGAACAATAAAGAAAGGTATCATCAGTGAGGCTGAATCTTGAAGAGTAGGACATGGACAAAAAACAAAAGAATGGTATGCTTGTATGAGTTCTAATAATGATAAAACTGGGAAGATAAAACTGATGATCCTTGCATTTTACAATGCAGTTTGTGGGGATTCATTAGCTTTTATTCTTTCTTCTACAATCAAAGTTGCATATGATTACAATGTATGAAACATTTTTTAGGGCCTTCCCTGATGGCTCAGCAGGTTAAAGCACAGCACTGCAAGCTTTGCAGCAGCTACTTCTGTGCGAGTTCAATCCCCGCCCCGAAGGTGACCTACATGGTGCAGCAGACCTCTCCTGTCTTGCCTGCTGCTCCCCTCAGCAGTATATTTCAGTACATCTGCCTGTTCCCCACTCTGTCTCTGGCGAATCCTCTCACTGCTCATGCACTTTTGGCCTGTACCCCAGTTCTGTATGCATAAATAAATAAATTTTCAAAAATAAATAAACACATATATAAATCTTTTAAAAAATAAATTGTTTCTTGGTATACTACTCTACACCATTTTTTATTAGCTGTATTTATTTATGCATACAAAAAAAGGGGTACAGGCCAGCGTGTACAGGCCAGTGTGGGGGATGAGAGGATACACCAGAGACAGAGTGGGGAGCAGAACAGGTAGGCAAACTAAAATATACTGCTGAGAGCAGTGGGTGAGACAGGAGGTCTTCTGTGCCACTGAGTCACCTCCCTGGTTGGGGATAGAACTCAGGCTGCTGTGGGGATCCTCAGAGCACTGTACTTCAACCCACTGAGCAACCAGGGAGGGTCCCTATAGCACTTTTTTTCTGGCTTTCTTAAGGCTTATATTTGTAACTAAGTAACAAATAATGGAAAGTGACTCTCTGCTTCAATCTTTACACTTGCATAATTCTTTCCCATTACTCTATTTTCTCAATACAGTTAAAGCATATTTTTGATGAGATCAAGTTTAGTGTTTGCACTATTGGGCTGGTGTAACTGTTATTGTAGCTGGGTCATAAAGTAAGACTGTGATTCTCTTCCTTTTTTTTCTGTTTTGCGATTTCTTCCTGTACTTACAACTAATGTATCATGAAACCCTTTCTTCAATTATCTACTAAAAGATTTAAAACAAATAACCTCATAGGAGAACTGTCAAAGTTAAGTCTCATTCCAACTTTGCTTGGAATCTGTGAAACAGAACCCCATGGTTCTGTTTTCCATATCTCATTTTGATGAAACACCTCTACCAATGGCTGACTGAGACAGGGATTTAAAAGTCAAGACCTTGCATATTTAAAAATGTTCTTATTCTACCATCACAAATAACGGACAGTTTGACTAACTATATATTCCAAGTTGAAAGTCATTTCCTTTTATAATTTTAAAGACAGTGGGCCTTTTTTTTTTGTATTACAGCTTTCATTGTTGTTGCTGCTGCTAAGTCTGAAACCCTTATTCTTCTATGATACTGACCATCTCTTTTCTTCCTTGCAATTTAGTTTTTCTTTTGTCCCTTGAGTATATTTCTTTTATGTGTGTGTGTGTGTGTGTGTGTGTATGTATATGTATATACTTATTTATTTTTTTTTTAAAGATTTATTTATTCATACAGAATTGGGGTACAGGCCAGAGATGCGGAGGGTGAGAGGATTCACCAGAGCCAGAGCGGGGAGCAGAACAGGCAGATCGATGAAGTACACTGCTGAGGGGAGCAGCGGGCGGGTCAGGAGAGGTCTGCCACTCCATGTGGATCTCCTCCCGGGCAGGCGGAGATCGAACTCATGCGGAAGTGGCTTTAGTTTCTTAGTGCAGTGCTTTAACCCGCTGCACCACCAGAGAGGGCCTGTATATACTTATTTTTAATTCTTCACCCATAGTTCCATTTTCCAGCTCCCAAACTTGGAATTTCCTGAGCCATCAGAATAACGTATCTTTTGTCTCATAATTCCACCACACCCTTGGACTATCCTGAGCAGTGGTAGCATCTTTTATCATATTTGGTCTTTTGTCCTTAGCTCTAGATGGCTTCAGAATTTCACCGAAGTTGAGGTGGGTGTCTCATTAAGGGTATATTATTGTTTGGTAAACACCCTAGAAAAGTTCCAACCCCTGATTTCCTGAGAGGAGAAAGGCTAGAAGTAGAGTCCAATCACCAATGGCCTAGGATTTAATTAATTGGTGACACCTAAGTAGTGAAGCCCCATAAAAAACCGAGAACTTCCAAGTTGTGAAACCACAGTAGTTCCATGTGCTGCCTTGTAGGATCCCAAACTTTACAGAAAAGGAAACTCCTTTGTCCCTGGACCTTGACTTTCTCATATGGTTATTGACTCCTTATCCTTCAGTATCCTTTGAAATAAGCCAGTTCTCTAGTTAATACTTGGCTTTCCTGCTATCTAGCAAATTAAGTGAATATAAAGTGGTGGTTGTGGGAACCTGATTTATAGTCAGTTGGTAAGGAGCAGATACTAATCTGAGTTTGCAATAAGCACCTAACATTTGAGGAGGTGGTCATGGGAACCTCTAATCTTTGACCAGTTGGTCAAAAGCAAGGGTAACTGCCTGAGGGCTGTTTCAGGTACCTGAAATAGAAGGTGGCCTTGGGATACTGACTCTTAACCAGTAAAACCTGCTATCATCTCCAGGTAGAGTGTGTCAGAACTGAATTGAATTCTTGGGACACCCTGCTGTGTTCTGTTCTTTGCTTGTAGGTGAAGGGAATTTAAAGACACCGGTTAAGATTGGGTCCAGAAACCCAACACAACTAACAATGAAGCACTAAAGTAGACTCTATTTACCATGCAATCAGAGTCATCTTCAACTAGCTTTGCAGAGACTTACCGGACATTTGTAATCTCTAGCTCTTTCATGTTTCAGTGTGTGCATTATAAGGGCATATCGTCTCTGAAAAATCATTCCACACTCCCCACATTTATGGGATGCTTCCTCTTCAGTATTCTCTTTAGCATCTCTATTTGGCTGTTTCATCTTTTTTCCTCTTTGAACTAATTTCTGAGCCACCTATTAAGGCATAGAAAACACAAACCAAGTAAACATATTCATTTTTATTTGTCTGAGTTCACATTATTTAATACTGGTATTGAAAGCATTACGTTGCTTTCCTTCCCACCAAAATAATTTTCATCATAGGCATGTTTTTAAATAGAATGTTCGAACCTAAAGTTAAAAAACTACGAAAGTCAATTCTTTTCATCATACCTGTTGGACTGCTGACTTGGGAATGGCTTTCCGTTTCTGCAGCTTCTTCTCCATTCCTTTGTGTAGTCGGATATAGCCCCCTTCATTAACAGAACGCTGCCGAAGCCTGCTTTTATAAGTATCATCATCAGGGCCCATGTCTGTTTTTGCAGTCAGTGCAACTAAGTTTTCATGATCTTTTAAAGTCTCACCAACATTCTGCTGGTGCTCCGGAATGTCTTCAGCACAGATATCTTCCGCTAATGTATCATTTCCCATATCAGTCTTTTCTGGAAGACTGATTACATTCTCTTTTGGAAGTTTGGAAGGAATATTAGAAACTGTATTATCTTTGCAGTTTGAAGTTTCTAGTTCTGACTGGTTGTTTTTTGTTATTAAGTCAACAGACTCCATTTCAGGCTGGGAATCAGTTACACAGCCTGCAGGTGACAGAGTAGCATCAGTCTCTGAAGAAACCTGGGGACCAGGTTGTTGTCCTAGATGTTCCTTCTGCTCAGACTCTGGCAATTCTCCATTTACTAGTAGTACAATTTCACAATCCCCCAGTTCAGGAGATAAAGTTGTAGTTCCCTCATTGCTAGCCACTGGAGGGGCTGTACTTCCATTTTGTTCTGGTAAGTCCTGGGTAGACGCAACTGTCTGTACTTCACCTTTCTTATATACTGTTAGTTGCTTCTCTTCCATTAGCTTATGTACACTTTCACAGATTTCTAAAACTTCTGACATGAAAAGATGACGAGCCAAGATGGCTACATCAGCCATGCTACAGAAGTCAAAGCTTAGCACAGACGTGTAGGCAAATTCCAGTAAAGGAAGGAAACTTGCCTTACAAAAACCTATGAAACAAGGATGGTAGACAAAGAAGTCAATCACTATTAAAACACCTTTTAAGTACAATTACGTATGATTATGGCAATATAAAACAGAATGTAAGTGTAAATATCACCATTTACTTTGCAGGTAAACACCCTGGATTTGTTTTCTTTTTATTCTGGTTGTTTATTAGACCATAACTAACTCACTTTTATGAGCCAATTCATAATACCTAAAATAGAAAATAATATCAGACTTACTATCTCGAAGAACTGGTGTAAAGCAGTCATTTTCAAACTCTACTTCTTAGAACAAATTCCACTCAACAGATGGAACAGATGCTGGTAAATGAAGGGCAACAAGAGATGGAGGCAAGGTTCAACTAATCTGCCTCCTAATCTCACTTTAGTAAGCATAACTGTATGTTTTAATAAGAATCCATACAAAATTTGATGGTGAACAAGGATTTCTATGACAAAAAATTACAAACCAAGGTTTAAGGTAGGGAGGCATCAGCAAAGTTTTTCTGTAAAGAATCAGGTAGCGTATACTGTACTCATAAAGAGTCTGTTTCAAACTATTCAATTCTGCCTTTATAGCCAGAAAGAATAACACACAAATGGGTGTGGCTATGTTTCAATGTAACTATTTACAAAAAGAGAGGAAAAGGAGGTACGTGGAGGAACGTTTCTTGAGCTGCAGTGAGTCTACCCTAGAACAAAATAATTCCCACACACAAGATATTACATACCATTCTGTTAGAAAATAAAATCAGTTTTTTCTAAGTTCATACTTCATTTTAGAAATCCATTTTTAATATTCACATCATGTGAAAAGATCACATAGTGATGAATCCAGCATAATCTTCACAATCAGTATGATTAAGAATCTATCTTTTCAGAGTTTCCTACATAGTCAAGCAAATGTTCTTATTCTCCCTTCTTATAGGTATATTACACATATTGCCTATGCTTGATTAATTTCATAATAACTTTTTTTAAAGAATTGTTTATGTATGTACATAAGAACTGGGGTACAGGCCAGAGGTGCATGGGGTGAGGATTCATCAATGACAGAGTAGGGCACAGAACAGGCAGACTGAAATACACTGCAGAGAGGAGCAGCAGGTGAGACAGGGAAGGTCTGACGCATCATGTGGGTCACCTTCCTGGCCAGGCATTGAACTGCTGGTGCAGATGGCTATATAGTGCTGCTCTTTAATCCCTTGAGCCAGCAGGAATGGCCCAGTCTCATAATAATTTATCTTAAAGATCTTTTAATATGTATAGAGCAAAGGCAATATTTTAAGAATTCATATTACTGTGTTTTTCAGTTTTGATTCAAGGTAGATAATATGTGGTCTTTTCATATAAGCAGATAAGGGATAGAGAAGAGTCTTAAGCATTAGAAGTAAAGGTGATAAATAGGGGAACACAAATCAACATCATCATCATCATGGCTAATCAGCCATTCTTAGAAAAGCTGATAAATAGGCTGATGCCATATAAATCCTGCTACAAACTACAAGACCAAGTTAAGCTTGAGGTAAGAATATTTACTTATTTTTAATTATGTTTATTGAGGTTAACACTGATTTGTTAAGATATAAGGCTTTTTCGGGGGGGGGGGACCACTTACTTACTAACCACTTACTAACACCTAGCACCTTTTAAATTACTAAGTCAAAGTCATGTTTCCTGTAAAAGAATTAACATGTTCTAAACATCACTTTAACTATCAAAATCTCTACTCAAATGAGTCCCCTGTTTACTATAAATACTATGAAATATCAAAGAAAAATCACTCATAATATTTTGTTTCTACCCCGCCATTTTACTTACACACACTCAGAGCAAAATGTTTTATTTAATCAAAATGAAGTGTGCTTTTTCACAATATGAACACTTTCTAGTTCTTGTAAACCTAAATGGAAAGACCTTTTCGATTTAGCTAGACTGCCACTATAAGTGAGTTTCTCCCTCTTTAGTATGAATGCTGAGTTTGTAAGTTAGATGGATACCCTCTCCAGTATGTAATTATAACAAAAATATTATACAGTTCTTACCTGAAAGATCCACCACTGCTTCATGACTGGAAACGGCTCCTTTCTCAATGAAAAGATCTCTAAAATACTCGCTATTAGCTGACAAAACAGATTTGTGAGCCTTGTACTCTTCTCCTTCAATTAGCAGAGTAACATCACAGAACTGGTTTGAGAGTCTCTGTTCATTCAGCTGTTTTAAGACAGCCTGACAATGTTTTGGAGAAGAACGTTTCACCACTCCTTTGGTGTCAACCTAACAAAAGATTTTGAGACCAAGAGCTATATTACTTATCATTTGTACCTCTACCCTTAACAGAATTTAAAAGAAGATACACTATTTCATTTTTAAGACACTGCTAATTATTGTATCCTGATATTTTTAAAATTTATATATTTAAATAAAAAGGGATATCCTCATTGTTTTTGATGTTTATTCTACTTGACTCAATAAAAACTTGTATCTCACTCCTTGCTATCCCTTACTAACCATAAATTTGATGATACCTGAAACTAATGCAGGCAAAAAACAAAGACCTGGTGAGCTTAATTTTACCTTGTCCCATGACCCAGAGATTATTTTCAGTAATGCTTTTGTTATACTAAATGCATTAGTTATACTAATACACCATTGAAATGTATTCTGTCTAAATGCATTAGTTATGCTAATATACTACAGAAAAAGGAGGCCTGATAAAGAAGTAAGGAGTTTTATTTCTAAGAGCAGAAACAACAAAATACTTATGATCAAGAGTTATAGTATATGTAACAAACAAATCATTGCTTCAGACATAGACCAGCTTAAATTTTCAATGCCAATGCCAACCTTTAAAAAGTTTTGGCAGTTTAAGAAAAAGTTCAAAGACAACAAATATTAATAATCATTAATTACAAATATTAAAGCTGAACTGAAAGTTCGACTTACAAATACAAGTTCATGTTTGGATACTGGCTTCTTTTTTGTGGGTTTGGAGGCTGTCGGAGGTGAAGTAAAGTTGCTTAGGTCATCCTCTGATTCATTGCTTTCTTCTCCAGAATCAAGGTCTAGTCCTAATTCTTCCAACATTTCTGACGTATCTGATATGGGACGGGAGCGATCGAGTTTCTCCTGGCATTTGCTACACTGTTTAATGTAATCTTTGACTTGCCTTAATATACCTACAATGAAAAGAAAAAATAACAAGTTTAACAGTGATTTTATTGGAAAATTCAATAGATTATACTGTTAATTTAATCTACATACACAAATATATGTTCTGGGCTCATGTGTGCACACGTGCCCAAACAGTATAGCATGTAAAATAAGTTCAGTATGTAAGACCCACCTTTTCCAAAGTTGTATAAGATTTCAATGATAGTTTGTTTCCATCCTGAGGTAGCCTATGTGTTATTTATTTCACGTTATTTTCTTTATCATATAAAATGACTGTGTAGCAGCTCTAACTGCCCACTTGTATCTATCTATGCAGGTGTCCTTTACTCTTCCTCCCCTTTATAAGAAACCTATTCTTCTGAATATAAAAAAATAATTATGCAGCCTCACCCATTTCCAATGAGTCGCAGCTACTTCATGCAAAAAGAAAAATATGAAATTGGGCCTCCAAGACAGAGCACTATGAAGCTACTATCAGCAGCCACTGCAGCATAAGTTTGATTCCTGGCCAGGGAGCTGACCCATCTGGCCTAGCAGACCTCTCCCATCTCACACACTGTTCCCTTCAGCAGTGTATTTCAGTACATCTTCCTGTTCTGCTCCCCACTGTCTCTGGTAAATCCTCTCATCCTCCCCACACATCTAGACTTCATCCTAGCTCTTGTATGCACAAATAAATCTTTAAAAAAAAAAAAAAGAAAAAAATACAAATGGAACCAGTATTAACCTGAATAGGATCACAACCAGAATTGTCTCAGTTTTGAAAACCATGAGATTTTTTAGGGCTGTATGAAATAACAGCATACATGGCCTCTTTCTGGTGGTGTACTGAGTTAAAACACCACATTGTGAAACTCTCAAAAGCCATTGCAGCATGAGTTCGAGCCCCAACCAGGGAGCTGACCCAAATGGCGTGGCAGACCTCTCCTGACCTGTCTGCTGCTACCTTCAGCAGTATATTTCAGTAGATCTGCCTGTTCTGCTCCCCACTCTATTTCTGGTGAATCCTCTCACTCACCACACCTCTGGCCTGTATCACATAATCAAACAAAAACTGATAATCTACAAGGCACTCATTAAACCCTATTTTAAACTTCAATTTCCAGCTCAACATTCTGGGTCAGGATAAGAAGCAGAGAAGAATAATGTGTGTCTCTATGTATTATCTTTGTAAGGTGGAACAAATATTTGTTGTTCTACAAGAGAATAAAGTCCTAAGAGGTAAGCAACATGGCCAAAGTCCAAAATCCAAAGTCCAAAGTCACGTCTATTGTATAGGTAGGCTCCCAGAAATTTAGAGACTTTTTTGTTTATTATGCTACTTCATCATTTGTTCGTTCCTGTGGCAGAAACATCTTTCCCAATAATTCCCAGAATGCAAACAAAAAGGTTCATTAATTAGCTAATATGTTACAGAGAGTAAATCCTTTAAGAGTTCTTAAAATTATACCAAGTTCCTTATACTTTTAACCTCTGAAAAATATTCAAACAATATTCTCAAGTTGTATTATGTTTCATACTTACTAGAAGTATATACTAGACAATGAAGAAAATCATGCTTTCATTTTAGAGACATATGGCTATTATCATATTAGAAGTTTCAAGTTCTACAGTAAAGAAATCTGTTTAACCTAGAAATTTGCCAAATTTATTTGTTCACAGAATACCTATATTTTTCATACTATATCTTAGGAAATAATGAATTATGTGAAATATAACTTCCATTAAAAAGACATGTGCATGGGTGATTTGGTGATGGGAAACCCAAGGGGATTGCAACTGAGATGGAAAAATGCACAGAAATATGTAAAAATAAACTATTATTTAAAAAAAAAAAAAAGGCATGCGCAGTCCTCCCTGGTGGTGCGGGGGCTAAGGCGCAGCACTGCAAGCTAGCCACAGCTGCTTCAGTACAAGTTCAATCCCTAGCCCCGGAAGTGATCCACATCATGCAGCAGACCTTTTCTGTCTCACCTGCTGCACCCCTCATCAGTATGACTGTTCTGCTCCCCACTCTGTCTCTGGTGAATCCTCTCACCACCCCTGTACCTCTGGCCTACAGCCTAGTTCTGTATACATAAATAAACAAATCTAAAAAAAAAAAAAAAAAAGGCATGTGCATAGATTTAGAAACCAACAGAAGGTATACTTCAGTGTGTGAAGATATTAAAAGTTAACAAGACTTTATTACTGTAAGGAACAGTGATATATATTTTACATGCAATCATGAATAAATGGGTTAGGAGAATAAGAAATTTCTAGAAATTAATAGTGATGACTACACAATAATGTGAAGGTTTTTTGACACCACTGAACTATACAATTAAAAATGCTTAAAAAGGAAAAATTTATGTTAAGTGTATTTTACCACAATAAAACAGTAAGCTTACATATGTAAATGAATGGAGGAAATATTTGTTATATATTTCTATGTAAAGAACTTACTTGTAGAGGCCCTCCCTGGTGGTGCAGCAGATTAAAGCACAGCACTAAGAAGCTAAAGCCACTTCAGCATGAGTTTAATCCCGCCCTGGAGGTGACCCACATGGCACGGCTGAGACCTCTCCTGAGCCGTCCACTGCTCCCGTCAGCAGTGTAAAATATATAAATCTTAAAAAAAAAAAATACTTGTAGAATAATGAATGCTGCTAAGGAAATTTCTATATCCAAAGTAAAGACAAGAGGTACTTTTTAAATTATTCATTTTGGTTTTATTTCTAAACATTTTTATTTCTGTATCTTCTGCAGTAGGATTTATTAACTATTGACTGGCTGAGGTCAAATGATATTAGAGAAAATGTACTGAAAGCATTTGAACAAGAATGGAAAATAAAAAGTATTAATGGATGATAATTAATCAATTGTCTCAGAAAACATCCTATCATGGTTTCTGTCTCTTTTAACTGAATTAATGTTTTAATGGAGTCATTTTAGATCCAGTTTTACAGATTACAGAAACTTACCCTCCTTAATTCACCTAAAGCTGATTAAGCTGAGAGAATCTGACTGAAGTTGACTACTCAAAATACATCATTATGTAAATATAGTTAATCATGTCGAGTGGGAAATCACTGTAAGATGGTAAAATGATGTAGCAAAATCTGACTAAACACTTCGTCACTGAACCTCTCTGGGCATATATCTAATATGGGGATAATAGTAGTTCCTTCTCATTCAGTTTCTCATTTGTTGTTACCCAAATTATGAAATTATGTACAATCAGATATTTGAGAGAGGCAGGACAACACACTGACAAAATTTTTACCACAGCATAGTTTGTTCTACTTTATCATTAGTTATTGCTATTGACTTCAGTGTTAAATTTACAAATTAAGCTTTATCGTATAAGAAAAAAACAGTACATACAAAATTTTGTAGCATCCCAGATTTCAGGCATCCACAGGGGTCTTGGAAGGTATCCCCAGCAGATAAGGGAGAACTACTGTACTTACACAGGGCTGTTATGAGGCTTAAATGTTAATCTTTATAAAGTACTTTGAACAATGTTGCGACACAATAACTTTCATTTTGTCAATTATTTGTCAACCTGTGATATATATATATACATATAATATCCATATAAAAATAATACCATGTTACCAATAAATGAATTCCCTTAGTGGCTAGTCCTTTATAAAAGAACTTGAGGGACTGTTACTCATTCTATAGAGAATTTTTCTCAACCTCAGTAGTATAGAAATATTAAGTCTAATAATTCTTACTGGGTGTGGTGAACAGGGGAAATCAGGTTGTCATATGTCTCCGGATACAGCAAATGTTCCCTGAGAGGAAAAATCCTCCCAGCTAAGAACCACTGCTCTAGCGATCTCCCAAGTTTAACAATTTGCTTCTGTCAGCTGTTCAAGAACCACCAACCCCTGTAAGTGTTAGGTACAGTAGAGGGGTGTGGAAGTGTAGGATGGGTGGTTGGGGTAGTGGTGTTAGTGGTTCCTAAGTTCCATGCATATTAGTTGTTCAGTTTTTGTTTTGTTTAAAGGGGTTACAAGTAGTTAATTATGGCTGTATTTACATGAACCAAGTTCTTGATGGGTTTTCTAGACATCACACATTCCTCTTCTAGATTAATTTATACCCATTGTCTAAACAAAAATAAATCTATTGTTAGGTAGGAACTTCTGTACATGGTCTATTTAACCTATTACATGGTTTTGCTAATTTAATCTTTTTTTCTCCTTATTTTATCTGCACATTTTGGAAGGAAAGCAGTTAAATGGAGATCCCCATAAATCAGTATGTGACTGAAACAGGAGATTATTTTAGTGCTCTAGCACATATTGCTACAAACTTGCCTAAGCACTGGAACCCAGTTTATGATGAGTACATTCCAGAAAGAGCAGAATAATAAATCCCAGTAAATATACCTACTGAAACTTCTAGTGGGTTGACTTTGAAAGCAATATTCCTTGGCATATATGCCAGGGCATAAACCTAACTGAAATGGAAAAAAAGGAGGAAAAAAAATACAACAAAATTAGTCTTTTCTTTTCCACACTGATCCTTATAAATGCCAGATAAAAAGTCCACAAGGACTTTAGGTAGTGTATGACACTACCCATCTAGGTAGTGTATGACACACTAAAAACTGGTAATTGACATGTTTATCAATTTTTGATTCTAGATCATTACCAGTACCATTATCAAATATTACTCCAATAACTAGTCAATCGGCTTAGCCATTCTTAATTACTCTAAAGTCGTAAAGTAAATTGGCTGTGAAAGTTGACTCCTTAGTGGTGCAATAGCTTAAGCAGAAGCAGCATGAAGCTCCTGGCAACCACTGCAGCATGAGTTTGACCTCCACGCAGGGAGGGGACTCATAGGGCACAGCAGACCCCTCATGTCTCATATGCTGCTCCTCTTTGTAGCTTATTTCAGTCAATCTACCTATTCTGCTCCCTACTGTCTCTGGTGAATCTTCTCACCCCCTGTACCTTTCGACTTGCACCCCAGCTCTTGTATGTATAAATAAATATTTAAAAAATGACACAAATCATAAAGGATTTCACTACTGAAAATTCCTTCAGTTCTAATGCGGCTTTAATAATGTTTATTTTTCCACATAATTGTTATTTCCAGTAAGTTTGTAATAAAGAATCAGACATCAAAAAGAATAGGTAATAATGGAGGGCAAACTACTCTGATATTTATTGATTACAAATTCCAATTTTTAAACTTATTTTTAAAGATTTATTTATATATGCATGCAGAGCTGGGGTACAGGCTAGACGTGTGGTGAGAGGATTCCTCAGACACAGAGTGGGGAGCAGAAAAGGCAGACTGACGAAGTACATTGCTGAGGGGAGCAGCAGGTGAGACAGGAGAGGTCTGCTGTGCCATGTGGGTCACCTCCCTGGCTGGGGATTGAACTCATGCTGAAGTAGCTGAGGCTAGCTTCATAGTGCTGTGTTTTAAGTTGTTGTGACACCAGGAAGGGCCAGAGCTGTTTTAATGTTTAAAGACTTCAGAATTCTACCTTACTACAAATGTATCTTTCATATTTTAATTAGGCTAGTGTAAACATGGTATCAGTTTTTTCCCCTAAGACACTGAATTTCTTTTTTTTAAAGATTTATTTGTACATTCAGAAACTGGGGTACAGGCCAGAGGCTCGGGGTGGCGAGAGGCTTCACTAGAGACAGAGTGGGGAGCAGAACAGGCAGATCGACGAAGTACACTGCTGAGGGGAGCAGCGGGCAGGTCAGGAGAGGTCTGCCACGCCATGTGGTCACCTCCGGGGCAAGTGGGAATCGAACTCATGCGGAAGCGGCTTTAGATTCTCAGTGCTGTGCTTTAACCCGCTGCGCCACCAGGGAGGGCCGACACTGAATATTTTAAGAAAAAAATCAAGCTAGATTTCATATGATTGCACAAATAATCAATTTAGGAAAGGAAAATTCTTAACACTAACTCATATATCAAACCTTAAAATAGTGGCTAGGAAAGGTGTGAAATCACAGAAGTCTGCTGTGTAAGCTTTGACATTTAACTCTTATTGCTTTTAGATATTGCATCTGTAAAACAGAAATACAAAGATTTCCACCTCACAAAATTTCACTAATAGCTAATGAGTGAAAACTAAGTACTGAGAATTATGGCTGCATGTAAAAGCTTCGTGAATGTCATCGTTAGCTATAGTTATAATTTTCAATATAAGGTACTATAAGCCTGAGACATTTACAGGTGAGAACAAACTAATACCAGCAAAATGTAACAATTACTCTACACTTTTAATCCTTCACAGCTGCCTCTTTAAAAAAATTTAATTCAGATATTTTTTAAATAGAAATAAATCAAGGTAGGGACTATACCTGAGGAGAAAGCATGCCTTGTACAAAAAGGAAGAGTGATGTAAAATACATATAAAAACAAGTAGTCAATGACTAGAATTGATGATAAAGTTCATAAACTGAAAAGAACCTGAGAAACTACTCAACAGTCGAATTCCTGTACTGACAGGGTAACTAACTGGGAACTTAAAAAAATACTTCCTCCAGAGCCAAACACAGAGGTAGAACACTCCGGACAAAGCCTCAAATTTTTCTAAATCTAACTGAACTGTCTGAATAGTCAAAAACGCAGACGTGCATTTCCTGACTCTAAATCACGGTAACCTATCTTTTTTGAGTGTCCACAGTGCCCTCATTCAGTTTCCAAGCGCTTTTCACAGACTCAAGAGGGAAGACTCAACTCAGAAGCAAAAAGACCTACAATTCTTGACGCTCAATTCTCGTCCCCCAAACCAGGTTCCGGATGACCGTTTGTACTGAGGAACTACCAAACACCGCCGCCCGGAATTGCATTTTTCCTCATTTCCGCCGCAGTAGCACAATTTAAGGAACCCAGGCCGGCGGGGTCAAAGAACCTCAGACGCACCCGCAAAATCATCCGGAGCTAACAGCCTGGGGCCCGGGCTCTAGGCAGGATGCCCCTCCGGGCCCCCAAGCCGCCGCACAAACGGGTTTTTAAAGATTTATTTATCCATAAAGAACTGGGGTACAGGCTAGAGGTGCAGGGGGGTGAGGGGCTTCACCAGAGACAGAGCGGGGAGCAGAACAGGCAGATCGATGAAGTACACTGCTGAAGGGAGCAGCGGGCAGGTCAGGAGAGGTCTGCCACGCCATGTGGTCACCTACGGGGCAGGCAGGAATCGAACTCATGCGGAAGTGGCTTCAGCTTCTCAGTGCTGTGCTTTAACCCGCTGCGCCACCAGGGAGGGCCCACAAGTGGGTTTTTAGAAGGCACAAGACGCAGCTCTCACTCTGGGCAGCCGCCCGGAAGCTTCCCGAGAGGGAAGCAGCCACCACCTGCGAAGCAGCGCAAGAGGACAGTGGGGCGCAGCCGCGCGCCCCGCCCCGCCCCGCGGCAGGCCCGGCCCCCGGGGAAGCCCCTTTCGCCCCACCCCGGGTCAGGGCCCGCCCCCGGCGCCCCGGCCTACTTCCAGAGGGAAGTGCGGCTCTTTTCGCGTCCCCCACCCTCTCGGCTCCGCCTGGCAGCCGCTCCGCCGCCGAGCACCAGCTGGGACGGCGAGGAGCGTTCGGGGAGAGGGCTGCGGGCCCCCCAAACTTGTGGGTGCGCCAACAGGCCCGCCTCAGCACCCGCCAGCGGGCCTTGAGAGGTCCACAAGCCGCCGGCCCGCCGCCTCGCCGCGGCCGAGTCCCTACCTCGCCACCAGTACGTCTTGGACAAGTCGTGCCAGGTCTGATGCCGGGTGTGGTGAGTGCCGCCCGGGCCCAGGTGCGCCGCCTCGATGAGCCCCCGGCGCCGCTCAGGCTGCAGCACCACCTCCAGCTCCGCGAAGGTCTTGCGATGCCTCTGTCGCCTCTGGTAATATAAGGTCCCGCCGCGCACCACGTAGCAGGCGGCCGCCTTGCGGATTTTACGCTTGACATTGCCTTCGGTGCCGGGCGCGTACGGCTCGCGCTCGTTGGTCAGGTAGCGCAGGATGGCTCGGTAGCTTTCCTCGCTTGACATCGCTGACGGCGTCAGTGGGGGTAAGGAAGACAGCGCACTAGCTCCAGGCGAATGCTGCAGCGGCGCCTGCACTGTAGGGAGGAACGGCGACGCTTGCAGTGAGCGCCCTTCGACGGCGCTGGCCGCACGGAGGGAGAACGGACGAGTTGGTAACCAGGGGGAACTGCACTTCTCCAGCGCGCGGGATCCGCTTGCGACTGACAAAATGGCTGCTGCACCACCGGAAGTGACGCGCCAAGGGCAGTGGTGAGGGAAGTGAACACTGATTGGAGAGAATTGGTTTTCTGGCTTGATGAAGCCGACCGGGTGACGTCAGGACTAAGGGCGGACATGTTGGAAGTGGGTCTGCCCTTGCTGGGAGAGCGAAGCAGCTTGAACAGACATATTAAGTCCTGGCAGTTTTCTTTTTTTTTTATACCTTTTCTGTCTTCTAAGCACGTGTAAGGTTTGATGGGCAGTTGTTAGCCTGTCTTAGAAACACCGAGATGTGGGGTCTTTTCGTCTATCTTCTACGACATCCAACAGTATAATTACAGGGCTTTGCCACTAAAAATGTTAGCATATGGATTGGGGCCCAAAGTAAATCCCATTCACGTGGAAATGCAGGTTCCAAGAAACAAGGCTATAAAAATTAAGCCTCTGGATTACACGAATTGTTATAATTTCTAAGATTCAACTGCTGGCTCCAAACCACCCTTGAAATAGTCACGACTTACCTGAGTCGATGGGTATTTCCACGGTTTTCTACCTGAGGTGATCATGTTGGAAAACGGCGGTGGGGGTGGGGAAATGGCACGATCTTCTTACAAGCGTTATTTTTAGTTTTACATAGTTAGGGAAGAAAGTATTCATTTTACACCCGACATAAACTGAATGCAGAAAAAGCCGAGACCATCTGAACTACGTTTTCCAATGTGCATTTTGGGCCCTATTTCAGATTTCAGTTGGTTGTCGAGATTGGTGGCCGTGGTCACCTATCCCGGAGCTGAATCTGTAGCACTAGGAATTAAACTCTAAGGTAACTTGGGCTGGGAACTGGCCAGAGCTTACCTGGGTGTGAAATCTTATGCCAACCTATTTATTTCCCAGCTCTGGAGTTTGTGGTTCCCTGATGGAGGCAATTGAATCTCTAGAAACAGGTGATGGGCACACAGCAGGTAAAATGGCACAGAGTTCAGTTAAGGATGCACCCAATCTCCATGGTACTTGGGTTATTAAGGTTACAGAAATTCTCAGGTAGAAGACCATCCCAAAAAATATCCAGCTATAAGTACATGCTAGATTCAGACAAAAACCAGGGACTTCGTTGGGTTCACACATTCTGGAAACTAGACAACTTTAGGTGGAGGGAGGCTAGTGGAATTGCAGGGTGAGATGCAACCCCCTCCCATGGCATGGAGTCCAGAATAATGTCCAACCCTGTAGCAGACACCGTTGCAGTTCTCAACTGTTGAGAAAGACTGGGAGTCTAAGCCAGTGAGGATCATCCAGAGCAATGCTGCCTTTCATTCTGCCACCCCAAGTTTTTGCTAAAGAAATGAAAAAAGGAACAAGAAAATATCACACAATTGTTTATGCTTATACAAATTAAGTTACTGGTGGAACAAATTTTTCTAGTAGGGAACATGCATGTAAGCTATGTTGTCCTCACACAGCAGGCATCAATTTTGGGAAGAATTGTGTTTGCAAAATGTGAGAATTACTGGAACTCTATATGCAGAGTAAAATAAGTATTCAGAAAATTCCAGCTCCCTGGAGGGCAGCAGGCTCCCAACACAACTCCATCCTGCAAGTGGCTGATTTTTGCTGAACCAGAACCATTTCCACTGTGAAATTGCCTATGAAGCTAAGCATTTTAAAGTATGCTAACTGAAAATTTTAAGTAAACAAGCTGTGTAAATAGCAAAGAATATCCAAGAAACACCCTGTCCCCCCACCCACAAGTTTCTATGAAATTAGTGTTCAGCTCACTACATTTTGAATTTATCTTTGGGTTAGTATTTAAAAACCTTCGTAAAATGCTTTTCTGAGATGATCCAATTTTAAAATTGCTAGTGTTTATTTCTAGGTCCTTCAGGGGTACAGGCTATCCAGGAATCAAAGGCAAAGAGAATTAACAGACCCATTTTTAATATATCAGTAAAGCTATGCTTTTAAAGGACACTATTCCAGGTCCAAAGCTTCAAGGTCATAGTTCAGCATTTAAGGTGGGTTATTTTGGTTGTTTTCCTTATTCACAGCTAATACTTACCCCTTTTTATTATTTACACAAATATTGTCATTGACAGTTCCTCCAATCGCGAAAATTATTAAGTTGTTCACACATCCTTTGTTTTCACATCCAACTGTGAATTTAACATACACTGGGAAAACTGTTAGTTCCATCACCTTCCATAGACTCTGTAACTGTTGACATTGGCTTTTCCTTTGTCTAATTAATATGTGAAAAAAAATTCCCAAAGGATGTAATTATTCACTTTATCCTTACAAGAGTTACTTAAAATGATGTTTCTAGACATGTCTGTTAACATAAATTATGATTATCTTTTATATTTTATTTGTATCGGCAGGCTGCCTATACATTACAATTTGTAGTTGTTTCCAATGCAACCAATTTTAGAATGTTACATATTTTTACTCAAGGTAGTTAACATTATTGTCTGGAAGAACAGCTGGCAACTTAATGGTATTTTTACCTAATGGTAAAAATAAACAAGCCAATATAAAATGTGTCATGGGGCCACCCTGGTGGTACAAGGGATTAAGCTATTTGCAGTATGAGTTCAATTCCAGCCAGAGAGGTGACCCATATGGTACAGCAGACCTCTTATGTCTCACTTTATGCTCCCCTCAGGAGTTTATTTCAGTAGTTCTGCCTGGTTTGCTCCTCTTTCATAAATTTTCTTACTCCCTGCACCTCTGGTGTACACCCAGTTAATGTATGTATAAATAAATCTTTAACAAAAAATTTTAATGGCATGGCAGACCTCTCCTATCTCGCTTGCTGCTCCCCTCAGCAGTGCATTTCATTGTATCTGCCTGGTCTGCTCCCCATTGTCTCTGGTGAATCCTCTCACCTCCCCCCACCTCTGACCTTGTATGCATAAATAAACAAAAATCTTAAAAAAAAAAATCCACCACAATCTAGTTATAGACAGGTGTTTATTTAAAATTTCGATCTTGTCAATTTAGCGTTTTCCACCAACTCGGGGTGCAGAAACTTTCACAGGCTTCACAATCTTTTGCTTAGGTGCTGCCTTTGTGGGAGCCTATAAAAGATAACATGTTATGTGACATTATTCCATGCAATAGATTACCCACCCTTATGGATTCTTAACTACATGAAGAATGAAAAAAAGACATTTTGGTACAAAGTATAGGAATGGGTGCCTCCCTGGTGGCACAGGGGTTAAAGACAGCACTATCAAACTAAACTAGCTCTAGCCACTGCAGCCCATGTTTGATCTCCAGCTGGCCAAGGAGCTACCCACAAGGTGCAGCAGAGTTCTCCTGTCTTGCCTGCTTCTCCCCCCAGCAGTGCATTTCATTGTATCTGCCTGGTCTGCTCCCCACTAAGTCTGGTGAATCTTTTCACCCTCCAGTAAAGTACCTCGGGCCTACAACCCCAGCTCTCTTTTATGCTTAAATAAATAAAATCTTAAGAAAAAAAAAAGTGTCAGTATTTTGGGTTTAAAAAATTTGTTTTAGTTAAAGGAAGTAAAAAAAAAAAAGTCCTCTCCAACCCCTCTTCCAATTTCCACTTAGCACTAGTAGACTTGTTTGGTTTCCCACCAGAAACCAGCTATGAACATTATTTTCATTACTCTTGTACTCAAATTTCTTAAAAATGTAAAACTTCCATCTATCACCATTTTAAGTAAAAATGTGCTCTCATATCTAAGATAATCTCAAAATTACCTTAGCAGCAGCCATTGCTGTCTTTTTAGATGCTTGTTTAGCCTTCTTTGCTTCCTTAGCAGCCCTATGGAGTTAAAAAATAATTTAAGGTCAGAGCTTATTAACAAGGTGCTATGTGTTTTTTTAACAGTAGAATGATTATATGCTTTCCCCATATGCAATTATTTGTAGGAGAAATCCAGATAACTTTCTAAACTTTCTAATAACTTTCTAAACCAAATCAGCTAAATATATTACACTGTACATTAGCATTAAACACAGAATTTAAACGGCATAGATTTTTATATTAAATGTAAACACTTAGAAATGATACCACCTATATATCCATAAATATCAAAACACAGAATAAAGTTTGGCGATAAACCCAAATATGACCTAAAATCCATCCCAATAGTTGAAATCCTCTTAATAAAGCTTTCTTACCTTATAGCTTGTTCTCGTTGAGCCTTTCTAACTTCAGGCTTTTGATTCCTCTTGGCCATGATATCAGCAAGAGATGCACCTGTGATGGCCCTCTGGAATTTTACCGCACGGCGGGTTCTTTTCTTTTGAATTTCTTCCTACAACACAAAAAGGTAGGAAATACCTCTGAACCCTGTAATCTATGGATTTAGGGAAGAAGTATGTCTCTGATGGTTTATCTGTAACCATTGTAGTCATTTGGGCTGCTAAAAATAAATTATCAGAGCTGATAGATTGAAAAATAGAATTCTATTTCTTAGGAGTTCTGAAAGCCAGAAATTGGGATACTAGCATGTTCAGGAAAACACTCTTCCTATGGTGTATCTTCACAACACATTCAGGACAAGGGAGTTTTCCACCAGAAATTTTTTTTTATATAAGGGCATCCTCCACACCCCACCTACTTCCCCCAACCCCCACAAGGTCATGCTCCTAATATCATACCCGATGGATTCGGTTTCAACATATGAACAAAGATGTGGGGAAATATATTTAGCAGCATTCTACAAATATAATTCACGTACGTATTTGAAAATATACATGAGTTATTTCCATGTTTTGACTATTGTGACTAATGCCCATGAACCTAACAGGGCAACCCAGATATGAAATGGGTTCTCTGACCATGGGTCCTCATTCTTGCACCTAAAAAGGACTTGTAAAACTCAACTGCAGTAACACACAAACATTTGTAATAAATAGTTTATTTACAAAGAAGGGGAAATGAATAACTCAGGGAGTGAGATAAATAGATGTGTCCTACTAGTTCCACTGAGCTGGAATCCCAACAACATGCTGCAAGCCGGCAAAAAACAAGAGACCCCAGTGGCCCTCATGTTTGGTTTTATATCAAGCCAGACTGCTTAACCTAGTTAAGCTTATCTCCACCCTCAGGCCCCAGCAATCCTCCCTTCCATGATGGTATTAAGGGATTTGTAGTTCTTGGTGTCTAGGTTATCTCTGGCATGGCCTGGGGGTGGAGTCCATAAACTTATTTGTAGAGTTTGTTCAGGGCCTCTTTTCCCCCTAACTGATGTACAAGTTATCTGCCTATACCCCTTCTTCCAAATCCCAAGTATATACCCATAAGTGGGATTGCTAAATCATAGTATTTCAAACACAGCAAACCATTTTCTGTAGTGCCTGCAACCACCTTCCATACAGCAATGCAATTTCTCCTTATCTTACAATTAAGACACTTGTCATTTTTTAGACTAAAGATCATCTGAATGTCAATCCACTTAAACGAAATTAGAAGTAATTTCCCTTTCCTCTGAAAGCAAAACATCTAATACTATCTTAATAAGCACCCAAGGGGTGCTTAGTAAATATTCAAACCTAAAACTTCCAAGCGTCCTGAACAAGGAACCTACTTGCCACAACACACTTTTTCTCAAAAAGGGCAAACTAAAGAAAATTTTCAAAGAAACATCCAGTCTTCTCCAGAACTAGTATATGCTGAAAGACTCCAGGTTTGTCTATTAGGACTAATTCTCTAAGAATAATCAATCACAGTTCCACCCACTGGAACACACTTTCATGGTGTCCTATAACCCAAATGTGCTTATTTAGTTTCTTATTCCTCCTGCAAGGAATGCTTTTGTATTTCAACTAAATACCCTGAAACAAAAATGGACAAGGAAATAACATCAATCATTTTCACCTCTCTGACGATATAAGAGCCTTCACTCGTCTCCTTTAATTCAGTTTACACGCTCACGGGCGCAAAATGAGAGGTTAAATTTATAAATTAAGAGACCACCCCACAACACCCGTTTATTTCACTTACCGACTGTCCCTTTTTGTGCTTTCTTCTGTAGAGAACAGTCCAGTTTATCTGCCGAGGATTCCTCTTGGAAAGGAATGCTGACTCACATTTTGCGTTAAGAAACTGGAAAACCTGTCGTCACACGTAAAAAGTAGTTACTTATTGAAACCCGCCAAGATTAATAGCTAAATTCTGCCCTGTCATTAGACAAGCTTGTGTTCCACAGACGCCAAAAGGTTTGTGTCACACAATTAGCAGTAGCCGGGCAGCCCACCATGGTGGGCGTTTCGTTAGGTCTTTTCTCGAGAACAGGCAAATCTTAACTGGGCACAAAGGGCTGTGAGGAGCATCTAGCTCCTGTCCCTCCGGGAATTCCAAGAGACCTGGTACCCACAAAATGGCCTAAGGCCTCGTTAGTCCCCTTCCCTTTTACTGGAACACAGAAGTTACACAAATTTCTGATTTCCAACACGACTCATTAGGTTATCAAAGCTAAAGACTGGCAGATCTAGAGGCTTCCGATCCTAACAGGCACTGCACATAGGTCCCCATAGCAAGCCTTTCACGGGGACAACGTGGTGTAGTAAATGAACCCGTCTAGACCTAATCAGATGGGTCTTTATTCTCTAAAGACGACCAAACAGCGCTTGGCCGACGCGGCCTTCACCTTCCCGTCGGTCCTGGCGTAGCGCCTCCCATGTCCGGGGTAGATCTTGTACCCACTGAAACTGCACAGCTCGACCCTGTAAAGAGCGAAAACCCGTTAGAAAGGATGACTACAATCAATAGAAGCCATGCCCAGGACGTCGGGAAGGCGCTATGGAAGAAGATGGAGATGGATTGAGAGCCAGAGTTCCAACTTACTTCATGCCTGCAGCTGCCGGGGAGGACGAAAGATGGCGAAGAGAAGGAGAGGATCATGGGAAGCGAACTTCTAAGGTTCCGGGAGGCAATCCCCTCCCCTCATTCCCTTCACTACCCCGGCGCTCTGTGATGACGTTCAGTCCGCGTTACCAGTCTGAGCGGGCGCTGTGGGCTGCCACCGGAGGTGGTAGAACTTGAGGGGGCGATCATGGAGTGAGCTGTTGGCGGCCGATTGGTTTTGAGTCATTCTGTCTCTCCTGCGTTCAAGTGTCTTAGAGCCTTCGACCTTCTGCAGAGAATGCGAACTGAAGAGAAGCGGGTCCTCGCTCCTCCCCCATATAGTTTAGTGACCCACAGATGAGTATGTCTCAGGTAGAGCTTAAAGTAATATGTTGCTTTTCTTGTTGGCAACAAGAATTAAATTTTCGTAGTTTCACCCTTTGCAAAATAGTGAATAATAACGTTCTTCTAGTCCGTGCGAGTCCTTTTGTGCACGATGGCGTTTTGTATTAATTTTAATTAACAATCACTGTGTTTGCTCTATGCCGGGATTATAGTAAAACATTTACGAACATTAATTCATTCAATTTACAAAAACTCTAAGTAAAAACAGAAGTATTCCATGTTTCTCAGCGTG